GAGCCCAGGCCCACCCCAGTGTCCCTGTCACACCTGAGCTGACCCATCTTGAGTCAGCACTGATTTATCCATCTAGAATTTTCTACCCAGATGGGAGGGCAGGGAGGCCTCCCAGGAATGCCCTGAAAAGTCCCAGTCATCACAGCTTCCTTTCTCTCCTTCTCTCATTGCCCTCCCCACAGGCAGCCATCACTTCCTGTGCTGATGCCCAGGATGGCCTCAGTTCTGGGGCAGGGGTGCGGTCTGAAGTCTCTGCACACTGGGCAGAGCTGGCACATGGTAAGGTTGGAATCAACAAGCAGCCGGGAAGTGCCACTCCCAACAGTCTGGGGACGAGTTGTGCAGCCTCTGGCCATGAAGACACTGAGGTCAATGCACAGGCGTCCCCACACCATGAGCTCCACAGGTATCAAGGGCATGGGATGAGATAGCAGGGTCAGAAGGGTGGCTGGGCTCTCAGCAGGGACCTCCGACACCCAGGCCTCCTGACTGGGTGTCAGGACAGTGGGTGTGCACTGCTCACCCATTTTGGAGAGCAGGGCCCCCATGTTCTATCAGAAGAAGACCTGGCCACCTGGATACCACATGGATGCCCTGAGCCTGGCCAGCCACTGAGGGACTTGGGACAGCAGCATCCAATCAGAGCTGGGCTCCTCTGTCCCTATCTACCTTCCCCTCCTTGGACACCTGCTCCTCATATCGACAGCACTTCCTATCTGCTGGAGGTGTCCTGGAGGCCCTGGGATGCACAGGGCCATCACAGCCTCATGCCAGGGCCTGGGGATTCTGTCCGCCCTGGTGCCCATGCTGCTGGCCCTGGGCCAGGATGTCTGGGACCCTCTCCTGAGCTCTCTGCTGGCACAGAAATGCCCAGGGGCTCTCATCATCATCTGGCCATTCTGAACAGTGGTCTGCTCCGGTAGCGCCACAGTCTCAGCTGCTGGCACATTCCGCACCTGGGGCCACCATTTAGCTGCCCGTGCCCAGGACCAGCTGATGAGGCCGAACCATCTGTGGGGCTCCAGTTTCACCTCCTGCTTTGGGACCACGACCTCCTCCTCCATCAGGTCTTCCCTGAGCCTTCTGGTCAAGTGATGGTGACCAGCAAGCTCTGGAGTCAGGTGTTTGGGGAGGGCAATCCTATGTCTGTATGTGCACATTTCTGTGTTCTCGTGTGCAAGTATATACATACCTATTTATTTATTTAGTATTCCAAGAAAAACGTTTTTAATACCAGCATTGTTGGAATACATTTTTAGAAATACAATATGTAACTGTTTAATATACATTATAAAATCCTTAATTTTAGAAATTTGCAACTGTCTAAACAGCCAAAGAATCCCAGCTTCCAGTATAAACATGAATCAGTTTCTTCTATTATACCAAAATTAAAATTAAGCCATATTTGAACATTGAGAAATGAGATTAAAAATACCACCATTATAAAGTCCATGTAGAAAATGCCAACAGTGACCCCAGATGCTACCTTTATGTATTAGATCTTGTTTGTGAGACACATGATTTGTCCTATGTAAAACACGATCCATATGGTAAATGCAGGGCTAGACTATGGAGGGCAGACCTGTGTTCAGAAGAGAACTTTGTGGGCACAGGTATTTCTGGTCCTTGTACAAGTGGGTCCATAAGTGTCTGAATAAGTAGATGACAAAGATTTCTTCTCATGTAAGTCAGAAATAATCCCACACAGCACGTTTGTAAGGAAGAAGAGAATGAATGGGTACCAAAATGTTTTCAAAGACTGAGTTAAGTTCTTTTTAAAAGTCTGCGTTAACAGTGTATGTTATGTATATAGTAGAAAATTTCAAATACACTCTAGTAGTTGGCCTTGATGAAGTGTTTTATTTATAGCTATTTCTTCCTTTTTTTTTTTACTTAACCTTAAAGAAATATTTAATTACATATTTGACATTTAGAGTTACACACAGAGAGGCGGAGAAGCAGAGAGAGGGAGAGGTCTTCCATCTGCTGGCCCACTCCCCAATAGGCCGCAGCAGCCGGAGGTGAGCAGATTCGAAGCCAGGAGCCAGGAGCCTCCCGGGGACTCCTGAGTGGGTGCAGGGCCCAAGGACTTGGGCCATCTTGTGCTGCTTTCCCAGGTCCTAGCAGAGCACGGCATCGGACGTGGAGCAGCCGGGACTCACACAGGTGCCCATATGGGAGGCCGGCCCTGCAGGCGGGGGCTTTACCCGCTACCCCACAGCCCGGCCCTCCCCAAAGCCATTCCCCTTGGGATCCCGCCTGGGAAAGCAGAGGAGACGGCCCCAGGACTTAGGCCTCTGACCCCACCCTGCAGTACTGGGTAAAAGCCCTGATTCTGCTTCGGCCTGGCCCAGCCCTGGCCTTTGTAGCCCCCTGGGGAGGAGGGACCCAGACGGACGCCCTCTCAGAGAGAGAAAGAGGCTGGCGACCTCACGCACTGCTCCTCTGCAACGCGGCTGCCATGGCCAGCGCTGGGCCAGGCAGAAGCCAGGCGGCAGGAGCTCCATCAGGATTCACGAGGGAGGGAGGCCGGGTCCCAGGGACCTGGGCCCTCAGCAGCTCCTCCCTGGGTCACAGCCTGGAGCAGCGGGACTGGACGCGGCCCTGGACATCAGATGCCTGATGCGGCAGCACGCAGATGCGTCACGTGACCCCATGGGGGCCGCCCGCGTGCAGTGCGCCTGCGCCAGGCGCTGGACCCGGAAGTGCATCTGCACGCATGGCCGCTCTGCCCCGCGGTGCTCAGGTGGGAGTGAGCGCCGTGTCCGCTCCTGCCCAGAGCCAGCGCAGGCCCTGAGGAGCCGTCCTGGACGCTGCTGGCCCAGCCTGAGGGAGACCCAGCGCCCCCGGGTGAGGCCGGGGCCAGGTAGGCTGCGGCTGAGGCGGCCGTTACCCTCAGGACTCCATGCCTGCCCTGAGGAACAGCGAGGTCCTCTCTGGGGGAGCTGGGCGCGGGGTGTGGTCAGCTGAGGAGGCCTTGCTGTCACCGGGTAGGCGGGGCCGGGGCGCTGGGCTCGCGCGGGAGGAGGCCGGGCTGGGGGGGGGCAGAGAGGGGCAGGGGTGTGCGTGGGAGGGGGCCGGGCCCGGGGGTGGGGGGCAGAGAGTGGGCAGGGTGTGTGCGTGGGAGGAGGCCTGGCCGGGGATGGGGGCAGAGAGCGGGCAGGGGTGTGCGTGGGAGGGGGGCGGGCCCGGTGGTGGTGGGCAGAGAGCGGGCAGGGGTGTGTGTGAGGAGGACGGGCGGGGGGGTGCAGAGAGCTGGCAGGGGTGTGCGTCAGAGGGGGCAGGGACAGGAGGGAGGGCAGAGAGCGGGCAGGGGTGTGCGTGTGAGGGGGCAGGGACAGGAGGGGTTGGGGGCAGAGAGCGGGCAGGGGTGTGCTTGGGAGGGGGCGGGGACAGGAGGGGAGGGGGGCAGAGAGCGGGCAGGGGTGTGTGTGGGAGGGGTGGGGACAGGAGGGGAGGGGGGCAGAGAGCGGGCAGGGGTGTGTGTGGGAGGGGTGGGGACAGGAGGGGAGGGGGGCAGAGAGCGGGCAGGGGTGTGTGTGGGAGGGGGCGGGGACAGGAGGGGAGGGGGGCAGAGAGCGGGCAGGGGTGTGCGTGGGAGGAGGCCGGGCCGGGGTTGGGGGGCAGAGGGCGGGCAGGGGTGTGCGTCGGAGGGGACAGGGACAGGAGGGAGGGCAGAGAGCGGGCAGGGGTGTGCGTGGGAGGGGGCAGGGACAGGAGGGGTTGGGGGCAGAGAGCGGGCAGGGGTGTGTGTGGGAGGGGTGGGGACAGGAGGGGAGGGGAGGGCAGAATGAGAAGGGGACGCGGAGGTGGGGAGGGAGGGGGGAGCCGTGCGCGTGGGAGAGGGAGGAGGAGAGTGACGGGTACGGGGCGGGGCGGCGGTTGGAGAGCAAGAACCTGCCCGGCCCGGTTCCGGTTTTGGGGTCTCCTGTCCCCGGCCGGAAGTAGCCTGGGCCGCGTCCGTGCAGGAGCCCGGTCGGCCTCTCTGGGCCGGCTGCTCTAGGTGTGACGTGTGTGCAGGACACGGCCCGGCGCCCGAGTGAATGCGCACGGCCTCTGGTGCGTTTACACCGCCTGCACCCGGGAGACGCGGACTCAGAGAAAGCCGGGAACCCCTCTGCTCGGGTCCAGCCTGCCCCCGGGCTCTGCCGCCTCGGAGGACGTCCTCGTTTTCGTTCTTTTGAAAGGTTTGAAAGGCAGAGTTATAGATGGGACAGTGTGGGAGAGAGCTTCGATGTCTCCGTTCACCCCAAGATGGCTACACCGGCCTGGGCTGGGCCAGGCCCAAGCAGAAGCCAGGTCCTGATCCGGTCTCCAATGTGGGCTCAGAGGCCCAAGTCCTCGGGCCGCTTCCTCCGCTGTCCCAGGCTGTTAGCAGACAGCTGGATCCCAAGTGGACAGCTTGGTGGCAGGGGGGGCGGGTGTGGGGGGTGGGTTGGTGGCTGGGCGGGGCAGGGGGGTGCCATGTCTTAGTGGGTAAAGCCCTGGCCTGCAGTGCTGGCATCCCATCCGGGCGTCGGTTCGAGTCCCAGTTGCTCCACTTCGATCCAGCTCTCTGCTTCAGCCTGGAAAGCAGTAGAGATGGCCCAAGTGCTTGGGCCCCTGCACCTTTGTGGGAGTCCTGGAGGAAGCTCCTGGCTCCTGGCTTCAGATCGGCGTATCTCTGGCTGTTTCTTCCAAATGTGGAGTGGACCAGCTGATGGAAGACACCTCTCCCTCCCTCCCGCTCCTCTGTCTCTGCCTCTGTCATTCTGTCTTTCAAATACATTAATAAATATTAAACAAAAAAAAATTGGAACATGCGGGAATCCAGTTGGTGCCTCTATGGGATGACAATTTTCCCACAATGTTGTAACCTGCCGTGCCACAATGCAGGTCCCTGTAAATACATTTCTGCCCACTGTTTATTTTTAGCTGAGCAGAAACAGGATATGTTTATTTAATAACTAGTAACTTTAATAATTTTTATTATACATTATAATTGTTATGGTAATTATTATAAATTATAACTTACTATGGGACCACTCACGTTTTTCATTTCTGTTTGTGAATTTCGGTACATCTACATTTCAAAGAATTTTCACAGTTCATTATCTTATGAAATTTTTGGTCACAGGGTTCATACCATTCCCTTGTTATCTTGTCCATGGAGACCGTCCTGGTGTCACCATTCCATTAACAATATTAGTAATTTGCACCTTGTTTTCTGGTTGGTCCTGACAAGAAGTTCACGAATTTTGTTGCTGTTTTCAAAGACCCCAATTTTAGTTTTGTCAGTTTTCACTGCAGTTGTATATTTTTCCGTTCCACGGACTTGTACATCTGAGTTTCACTATTTATTTTCTTCACCTTGCTTGAAGTGTTTAAATTGCTTTTCTTCCTCTGATTTCCTAGGGTGAAAGCGTAGCTCCTTCATCTTGGTTCTTCTTTCCAAAAATATGTAGTCATTAATATAAGTTGGCAGGATACATGTTCACTTGAGTTTGAAATATTTTTCATTTGAGATTTATAAACGTGTTATTTTGAGGTGTGTTGATTGTTCTCCAAGTGTTTGGGACTTTCAGCTGCTTCTTACTGACTTCCCATGTAGTTCCTGTGTGATCTGAGATCTTACGCCGTGTGCTGCCTCTTCTTATGACTGAGGTCTGCTCTACACCCACGAACGTGGTGAGTGGACGTGCTGCGTGGGTCTGAGAAGAGTGTGTATTCTGTTGTCGTGGATGGAGCACCCTCTAAGGATCCGTTTGACACCTGGTCGATGTAGGCGCTTTTCTGTTCGGCTCCATCCTTACTGATTGTCTAAATGCTGACCTGTTAACGAAAGAGATGTCTGGACATCTGTGGGTGTCATAGTGGATTTGTTTATTTTTGTTTGTAGTTTTAACAATTGTTGCTTATGTATTGTGGCATGAGGTTTATTTTTGGACTCACTATCTTAATCCATTGAAATGTGACCTTCTATTCTTTCATGAATCCCAAACGGTCTTGGTTGTTGTAGGTTTATTGTAAGTCTTAAATACAGTATTGGCATTTCACCCAGTTCCTGTTTTTCATGATGGACCTGATAGTCGATTGTCGTGGGTTTTCCTAATTACAGAAAGTTTTGTGGATTTCTCAAAAACCTCGTGCTGGGATTTTTATTTAGATTGTGTAAACCTATAGGACCATTTTAGGAGAAATGGTATGTTAATAATATTCAGTCTTCTAATCTTACACACAGCGTATTTATGCAGATCTTCTTTCATTTCCTTCATCAGCATTTTAGTGTTCAGCCAACATATTTTGTATTTTATTCATGGAGTTTATGAGTTTTCATTTTATTTTGCTATTTTAATTTTTATATCAGTGTCTGCTCATTCATGGATGGTAGTATACAATGGATTTTCTAATAAGTGATTTTTCTTAGATGATTTTATTTATTTGAAAGGCAGAGGTAGAGGCAGAGGGAAAGAGAGACAGAGACAGGTCTTCCATCTGCTGATTCACTCCCCAGATGGCTGAGATGGCCACTGCTGAGCCCATCAGAAACCAGGAACCAGGAACTTCTTCCAGGTCTGGCAGGCAGGTGCAGGGGCCCAGGGACATGGGCCATCTTCCACTGCTTTCCCAGGCCACAGAGAACAGGATTGGAAGTGGAGCAGCCAGGACTCGAGCTGGTGCCCATGTTGTGTGCCAACACTGCAGGTGGCGCCTTTACCCGATGTGCCCCCGCGCTGGCCCTCCTGTTGATATTTTTACATTGCCCTTCTTCCCCTGATGGTCTTGCTAAAATAATTTATTATTCCTGGTAGCTTTTGAGAAAATGGTTTTGGAACTATTTGTAGATAATCATGTCTTCAGGAAATCCAGAGTTTACCATCTCCCCTTCAGCTCTGTATTATTTCCTTGTGTTTTTCTTGCCTTAATACACTAAGTGGGCTCACTGCTGTGATGTCAGGTAGGAGCAGTGACAGCAGATGTCCTCAGCTTTTATGTGAGCCTTGGGGAAACTCTTCTCTCCACTGTCTCTCACCATTTAAGTGTGATGCTTGCCGTAGATTTTTATTTGTTTTGTTGGATCAGCATTGGGCTAATTTCTTGACATCTTTCATATTTTTCTTCTTTAGCCACTCACATATGAATTACATGCATGGGTTTTTCTAGGATTAAATGCACTTCCATTTGTGAGAGAAACCTCAATTTTTCATGATACATTAAAGTGTTACTAGATTTTATTTGACTGTATTTGGAGGATTTGGAGAGTTCTCTGTTTATGAGAGACATTAGTGCATAGTTTCTTTCCTGTAATATATTTTTCTGATTTTGTTATTAAAGTACCTCAGGTTACATAAGATGAGTATTCCATCTTGTATATCTGGAAGTGTATGGGTAGAATGTATCAGTGAAGTCGTATTGGCTAGGAGGGCTTTTCATTTTCTTTGTCGGAGGATTTATGACTGGATTCAATGTCTTGAGTAGGTACAGGAGGATACTTCAGAACGTCACAGGGAATGAAGTGGAAAGCTTATTGTGGAGCAGAAGTTCGTGTCAAGAGGCCAGCAGAAATGTCCTCCCAGGCTGAGGAGAGGAGGATGTGGAGTGACCCCGTGGGAACGTGTGCCTGGGACAGAGCTCCACCGGGTGAGCCCACATGCACAGCTTGGCCCCTCTGCTCCCTGCCCTGCCAGGAGCTGGGAGCCTCAGGAGAGCCCCTCCCCCTTCCCCCTTGCTGGGTCCATCCAGTGTCCTGTACAGGGAAGGCTTCGTTTCATGGTTGCCATAGAGGATGATGCGTAAACTAATTGTGTCTTTTGCTATAGAGGTAGGTAGAGAGAGAGGTCTTCCATCAGATGCTTCGCTCCCCAGTTGGCCACAGCTGCTGGAGCTGTGCTGATCTGAAGCCAGGAGCCAGGAGCGTCTTCCGGGTCTCCCACGCAGCTGCAGGGGCCCAAGGACTTGGGTCCTCTGCTGCTGCTCTCCCAGGACACAGCAGAGAGCTGGTTCAGAAGTAGAGAAGCTGGAACTAGAAAAGTCCCATATGGGATGCTGGCGCCTCAGGCCATGGCGTCAACCTGCTGCACCACAGCGCTGGCCCTGAGTACTTCTTTTCTAATATAAGCACTTAGTACTTTTTAAATTTTTATAAGCTCTTTTATTTGTTTATTAAAAGGCAGAGTTATACACAGAGAGAAGGAGAGAGAGTAAGAGAGAGACCTTCCATCTGCATGTTCACCCCCCAAATGGCCTAAGTGAGCAAGGCTGGGCCAGGCCAAAGCTTGGGGCCAGGAGCTTCTAGGTCTCCCTTGTGGATTGAGGGGCTCAAGGACTTGGGGCATCCTTAGCATCTTTCCTAGGCTCATTAGCAATAGCTGGATTGGAAGTGGAGCAGCTGGGACTTGAACTAGCGTCCATAAGGAATGCTGGTGGGGCAAGCTGTGGCTTAAGTGTCTGCACTACTGTGCCAGTCCTTGCCTTTATTGCTTTCAAACTTTGCATTTATTAGAAAGGTGTGAGTGGTTGAAGACAGGGAGGTAGATCTTCTGTCTCTTGTTCACTCCTCAAAGGCCGGTCACCACCGAGGCTGCTTCAGCTGAAGCCAAGAGTGGGGAACTCATTGTGAGTTCAGCCATTACTCGCTGCCTTCCTAAGCTTGCATTGGCAGGAAGCTGGATTGGAAGCAGAGCTCAGACCTCAACTCGGGCATTCTCGACCATCGATGCAGGCTTCCCCAGCAGCATCCGCATTGCTGTGCACACACCTGCCCCCAGCAGGGTTTCATTGACTTCCTCTCCAGCAGTGCATCACACAAGTGTGAGGATGCTGTGTTTTCCTCTTCTCCTTTTCTTTCGATTGTCTTTTCTTACCTTTTTTTTTCTTTTTTCTTTTTTTTTAATTTCACTGGTAGAGTTAGACAGTGAGAGATAGAAAGGTCTTCCTTCCCGTTGGTTCACCCCCCAAATGACTGCCATGGCTGGTGTTTCGCTGATCTGAAGCCAGGAGCTAGGGACTTCCTTCTGGTCTCCCATGTGGGTGCAGGGGCCAAGCACTTGGGCCATCCTCCACTGCCTTTCCGGGCCTCAGCAGAGAGCTGGAGTGGAAGAGGAACAACTGGGACTAGAACCTGGTGAGCATATGGGATGCTGGTGCTGCAGGTGGAGGATTAACCAAGTGAGGCACGTGGTGGCCCCCTTACCTTTTTTTGACTTGGTTCTTGACTCTTATGTTATTTAGAATTGTGGTTTTAAATTTCTCAACATTTTGAAATTTTCCAGTTATCTTTGTTACTGATTTTTATTTTCCTTCTATTGTTATAAAGAACCTATGCATGATATTAGATAATTCATATGATATTGATAAAATTGTTGAGTTATGCTCTGGAACCTGGAACATAGTCATTATGGGAAGAGATTTATGTGTATTTGAAATTATGTATCTTGAGTTTTCTTTTTCTTTTTAATTATTTGAAAGACAGAGTTATAGAGAGAGGTAAAAACAGAGAGAGAGGTCTTCCATCTGCTGGTTCACTCCCCAGGTGGCTGCAATGGCTGGAGCTGTGCTCAGTCTGATGCCAGGAGCCAGGAGCTTCTTCTGAGTCTCCAACGTGGATGCTGGGGCCCAAAGCCTTGGGCCATCTTCTACTGCTTTCCCAGGCCATAGCAGAGAGCTGGATCAGAAGGGGAGCAGCCGGGACTAGAACTGGCACCCATATGGGATACCGGCATTTCAGGCCAGGGCTTTTAACCCACTGCGCCACAGCCCCGACCCCGAAAGTGCTTTCTGAATGGTAGTGGAGTCCAATCAATTGCTGATGATTTTGGATTTCGTTACAGACTCTATGTGGTCAGTTATTGAGATTTCAACGTCTTCCATTACAATTGTGTATTTCCTTATCTCTTTAGCCATGTTGCATTGGATTTTGCTGCCTTTATTTTGAGGGCATGGCAGTGGTCTGTTCTAGCTCGACCACCTCACCTGCTGTCACATTGTGTACCTCGGGCCACCATTTACCTAACCCCTGGCCTGGACCAGCTGCGGCCGGCACCCTCTGTGGGGCTGTAGTTTCATCTCCTGCATTGGGAGCGAGACTTTCCCTCCATTAGTTCTTCCCTGAGTCTCGACTGGCCCTCTGGGTCAATTGAGGGTAACCATAAACACTCTTGGTCAGGTGTTTTGGGTGTGTGTATGTATTTCTGTGTGTCTGTATGTGTGTGGTTATGTGATTTTTACTCATTAATTAGTAGGCAGAACAGGGAGTGCGAGCTGGAGATCCGCCATCCAGTGACTCTTTCCTCAAATGGCTGCCGTTGGCAGCGCTGGCCCAGACAGAAGCCAGGAGCCAGGGACTCCATCCAGGTCTCCCATGAGGGTGGCTGTGGTCCAAGTACTTGGGCCATCACCTGCTTCCTGCGTGGTTCACCAGTGTGGAGCAGTGGGACCGGAAGTGTCGCTGGCATGTTGGACGATTATCTTTGTGAGTCTCCATTCTTTCAGGTCTTTGTCGAGGGCTCATTCCCAGTGCACGGTAGTCTCTGGCTGCATTCTTGATGCATTGGAGTAGCTGTGCCGTGTGCATTGAAGTCCAGATACTCTGTGACTGACTGTGCACTGGAATGCTGACCGCAGCACCTGACCCCCCCATTCTTCTCTTGGAGGTGCACCTGGAGCTGCAGGGGCTGTGGCATCGGCTGCACGTGTTCCTCTCTGGTGCTGCTTTCTCAGGCATGGGTGCTGCTGTGTTTCCCCATCAGTACTGTGTGCGTCCTGATACTTCCTGTCCACAAGAGCTGGCCCTGGCTGTCCATGGCCTTTCCGCCCTGCCAGTGAGTTGTCATGGAAGCCACTGGTAGTTGTCACACAGCCACTGTGTGAGTGCATGCTTATTTAGTTCACTTAGTTACACAGATAGAAAAAGGGGGGGGGGAGAGAGGTTTTCCATCAGTTGGTTCACTCCTCAGTTGGGCGCAAGGGCCCGAGCTGTGCTGATGGAAGCCAGGAGCCTCTCTGGGACTCCCATGAGGGTGCAGGTTTCCAAGGACTTGAGCCATCTTCTACTGCTTTCCCAGGCCACTGCATTAAGCTGAATCAGAAGTGAAACAGTTGGTCCTTGAACTGGCATCCATATGGGATGCTGGCACTGCAGGTGGTGGCTTTACCTGTTAGCCATTTCGCCATAACCAGGTGTAATTTGGATGCAGTGATGTGCACAGATCTGAAGTATGGTTTGATGAGTTGATAAATGTGTGCAGCCATGGAACCCACTCTTGCTCGGATCCCAGCTATGCCCAGGGCCTCTAAAGTGGCAGCTCCTTTATCGTGCTGTTCTAGAATTGGGCCTGTGTGTGACCAGGGACCTCCCTTATTTGGGTCACCCTCCTATTCTCTTCATCATTGGGAGCGTCCTGGGGGTCATAATGTTTCCTTGCTGCTTGGAATCCTAGTTTTTCCTGGCAATGGAGGGTGCTAAGTTGCACCATTAAACACAATGTTTCTCTTAAGTTTCAGAATTTTGATGGCCCCAGAACATCTCCTCTGTCCATTTCCATTCCATTGAGTTGCTTCAGAAAGTCCTGGAAGCATTCGCTATTGAAATATAGCTTTATTTTGGTGCAATACAACTTTGTAATCTCTGTATAGATTTTTTTCCCATTGTGCCCGTCTTGAACATTTTGAAGTGTGTTTAGCAGACTCAGGTTTGTAGGTGATCCTGTGCCTGGACTGGACACTGCCTGCCTAGCCCATGCAAGAGGTTAACCTGACTGCTGGCAGGTGGCAGGAGCCCCAGGCACATTTCCGTCAGCCCCCCGCCTTCTGTTGAAGAGCCTTGTGATTGCCAATCACTGAGCACTCCCCTTTATAAGCCGAACACCCACAGGGCGTGAGTAGAACCATGTTGGCCCATCTGGAAGGCTACCTAGGCTAAGTGACCTTCAGGCTAAATGGAGGAGCGCAATGTGCCAATATCAGCTTTATCATATAGAATTAGTGTTGCCCTGAGTTAGCTACGCCCCCTCTGCCTGCCCTTTAAAAGCTTATGCTTGGTCGTTTACATGGACATGTTCACCAAACTTGTCTCTGGTGATCCTTGTCGAGGAACGCAGTCGTCCCTCCATCCCGCAGTGCAGGCCTCACAGGATGAGTCCACACAGATTGAATTCCCAGTTTCTGGGTTCCCCCTGTCCTACCTCCTCGGTTTGGAGCCTCTGGGTGGTGAAGCAGCAGTGTGGAGGCCTTTCTGTCTCTGATTTCTGCCTTTGAAATAAATAAGTACAAATGAACAGCAGTAGTAAGTGTTGCACTTGGAATTTCACTTGGAATGTGTGGGTCTTTTAGTTGCTTTATTCTCCCCAGGATTTTGGTATCATTTTCCTTCTTGTCAGTATTAACCATTGTAATGGGTTGTTGTATCTCACTGTTACGGGAATTCAGGTTTCCCTACTGAGGAATACCGTGGAGCATCTCTTCAGGTTTTTATTTGCTGTTTGATGTCTGTGTTTGTGTATTGTCTGTTTAATATTTCTTCCCTTTTATTTTGCTGTTTGGTTTGTTAGTGTTGCATCCTGAGTGTCTTTATGTTTCTGGATTCAGTTCCTTTATCTAAAGTATCTGATGTGCAAATATTTTCTCCCAGTCTGTAGTTGTCCTGTTTCGTCAGTCAGTGGAATTGTTTTTCAGCACTGTTTCCGGTTGCAGAGAACAGAGTAGACAGCACAGAGAGTCCTCTTGTATCATCCCCAAGTTTCAGTGTGTCCCCCATCGAATTAACATCTTGCTTGAGTGTGACATATTGGTTCAGTTGTTGATCCACTGTGGAGATACAGCAGTATTATTAGGTACTGTCTATAGGTTACATTAGTGTTCACTCTGTGTTGTACATTCTGTGGGTTCTGACAAATCCATGCCATTCTGGGTCCATGATTACAGTGACACACAGAGTATTTCAGTGTCCTGTAAATCCACTTTGCTCCACCCATTCACCCTTCTCCCTACCCCTGTCAACTTCTGGTCTATGAACCGTGTCTGTATTCTCTGATTTTTCCAGAAGGCAATGTACTTGACAACATGCAATATAGAACTGTTTTTTTAATTATTGGCAGAATGAGACAAAGAATTAGATGTGGAAATAGAGATCAGTATATAGATAGTGTTCTCATCATCTGGTTCTCTCCCTGCAGCCCCACCACAGCTGGAGCAGGCTGAAGCCAATAGTGGGAGCCAGAAGTAGAATCCAGGTGTCCTCCAAAGTAGCAGGAACTCAGTCATTTGAGCCATCACCAGTGCCCCCCAGGGCCTGCATGAACAGGAACCGGAAGTCAGGAGCCTGAGTCGGTGTCAGACCCTGTGCTGCAGTCTGGGATGCAGGCATCCAAACTGGTGAGTCCCCTGCCAGGCTGACCACCTGCCCCTTGTGTTCTATCTACACACTGAGAGAGATCAAGTTCATTCCTTCCCTGGGTCATTCTTCCATTGCCTGGAGTGTCTGGAATTTGGGTCAAAGCTGGGAAGTAGGAGCTCACTCCAGCTCTCCCATTGGGTGGCAGAAATGCATTCACTTGAGCAATCACTGCTGCCTCCCAGGATCTGTACTGTCAGGAATTAGGAGTCAAGGGTGGAGCCAGGTTTGCAAGCCAGGCACTTCCCTATGGGGCCGGCTGTCTTATCCAGCCTGTTAACCAAATGCCAGGTGAGATACCCACCCTCGACAGTAGGTTGTGGAGCTGTAGTGTCAGTTCTTATTCTTGGTTTGCCTGCAGTGTGATACAGGTTTCTGCATCCTTTGCCCTTCTGTTTGACATTCATTCACTTTGTTGACATCCACAGAAGAACATGCTGACACTGGTTAGGATTAGAGTGAACCCATAGGTCAGTGTTGAAGAAATGAGAACTTCACAGAGTGATTTCACATTTTCATGGCTCATTGTTTCTGTTGTTCTGTCGATTTTAAGGATTTTCTTGTTTATTTGCAAGGCAGAGTTATAGAGAGAGGTCGATCGTCCATCTGTTGGTTCACGTCCCAAATGGTCACAATAGTCAGGACTGGTCCAGGCCAAATCTATGAGGCCAAACTCCATCCTGGTCTCCCTCATGAATGGCAGGGGCCCAAGAGCTTGAGCCAACTTCTGCTGCTTTCCAAGGCACATTTGAAGGGAGGTGAATCAAAAGTGGAACAGCTGGGATTGAATCCAGTACTCATAGGGAGGTGCCGGCATCACGGGTGCTGACTTAAGCCACTTAACCCAGAGTACCAGATCCTGACATCATTCATTGTTGTTAATATGGAAAATTGACTTTATATTTTATGATTTTTGAAAGATTGATTTGTTTATTTGAAAGGCAGATTTACAGAGAGGGAAGGAGGGAGAGAGGGAGAGAGAGAGGTGTCTTCCATCTTTTGGGTCACTCCCCAAATGTTGGCAATGGTAGGATCTGGGCAGGTTTGAAGTCAGGAGCCAAGAGCTTGTTCCGGGTCTCCCACATGGGTGCAGGGGCCCAAGGACTGGGGCCATCTTCTATGGCTTCCCAGACCATAGCAGAGAGCTTGATTAGAAGTGAAGCAGCTGGGACTCAAACCAGTTCTTTTATGGGAAGCCGGCACTGCAGGCACGACTTTACCTGGTACGCCACAGAGCTGGCCCTACAATTGACTTTTTCATCCTAGCCTGGTGTCCCGCCACCTTCTTAGAATAGTATATGAATTCCAAGAGTTTCTTGCCTTTCCCCTTCCTTCCTATTCTGATTCTTACAGATTTATAGTGCATGATACCATTTCACCAGTGAACGAAGATCATTCTGTTTCTCCTCCCCAGTTCATACAGCTTTCATTTTCTGTTCTTCTCAGATTGCATGAGGTAGAGTGTCCAGCAGGTGGTGCTGAATCAGTGGTGAGAGATGACATTCTTACCTTGTTCTGATTTTAGAAATATAATGTAAAATTTACATTTTGTAGACATTCCCTATCAGATTGAGAAAGTTCCACGCTGTTCCTAGTTAGCTCAGGGTTGTGTCATGAGAGAATGTTGGATTTTGTCTGATGTTGTCTCAGCCCACCACGTGATGATGGTGTTCTTTAGCTTGTTGATGTGATGTACTTCACTGGCTGGTACTTGACATGTCGATGTAGCCTTGCAGACCTGGAATAAGCTCTGCTGGTTGTGCTGTAGGATTCTTTTCAAAGGGTATTGGCCTCCACTTGTAAATATTTTAGTGAGGACAATTCCATGCATGTTTATGAGAGATACTGGTCTGGAGGTTTTGTGTGTGTGTGTTTTTACCTTGTTTTGACATTAGGGTATTTCTTGCATCATAGAATGAGTATTCCTTTGCTACTTCCTGAACACTTCATGGAACATTAGCCTTTTTAAAAAATGATTGATGGAGAGGAAGTATGTTGGTGTAGTGTTAACAGCACTCTGATGTCTGCATCCCATGTCTGAACGCCTTGGTTTGATTCGGATCTGCTCCCAATCCAGCTTCCTGGTACTGTGCACCCTGGGAGGCATGAGTGATGGCTCTCGTAGTTGGATCCCTGCCCTCTACATGGGAGACCTGGATTGGGTTCTTGGTTCCTAGCTTCAGCCTGGCCCAGCCCTGGCTGTTGTGGCTGTCTGGGGAGGGAACACAGTGACAGCTTCATTCTCTCTCCCAGTCTCTTTTGGCTTTTAGATAAATAATGTATCAAAGTAAACACTTAAAAATTTGGTATAGTTCACTACAAAACCATTTAGGCTTGGCTTCTTCACTGCTAACCTTTGATAAAATGTATTTAATAGTTATGGAACATGCAAATTTTCTAGTTCTTCTTGTGTGAATTTTGTTTGGTACATTGTATGTTGTTTCTTTTCATTTATTTTGTGAAAATTTTGTTCACATTATTGTTCTGTTGTGTTTTTTTTTTTTTTTTGTCCATTGGGTCAGTAATGATGTCACCTCTTTCGTTTATAGGATTGATAATTTATACTTGTTTTTTCCTTTTTCCTTGGTTAGACCTGACAAGAAGTTCATGACTTTTGTTGATGTTTCCAAGGATTCAGAGTTTAGGGATAGTAGTTTTCTCTACAATTGTACTTCTTTTCACTTCCATTGATTTCTACATCTAACTTACTTTACTTATTTTAAATTCATTTTCTTCCTCTGATTTTCTTTTTTTTTAACTGCTTTTAAAACTTTATTGAGACCCCTCCCATCTGCTGGCCCCACCCACAAAGGCCCAAATGGGCAGGCAGGGCCGAAGCAAGGGGGAGGGAGGGAAATGTTTGATCCCAGGTGGGTGGCATGGGGAGTGGGAGGGGTGGGTGAGCTGAGTCAGCAGGAGGTGGAAGGGAGAAGTAGCCAGGAACCTATACAAGCCACTCTCTGCTTCCATCCTCAGCTGGTAGCTCTGTGCATTGAGGAAGCTCCACCTGCATGGAGGTGCTGGGTTCCATTCCCACCGCCTGGCCCATGCCTTCGGATTCTAAATGGAAGCACCTGTGTGGGGCTTGGGGCTGGGATTGCTGATCCACCCACCCCAGGACACGGGAAAACACCTTCCGGACTGCTATGCCCCCCACAGCGCGACAGACCCCTGCCCAATTCTTCCTCTGATTTTCTAAGATGAAAGCCAAGCTTATTGATCTTGATTGTTTTCTAAAAGATGTATTCAATAGTATAATTTGGCAAAATATAATTTCACCATCATTTAATTTGAAATATTTTTCTTTTTCTCTTGAGACTTACTCATTAGACATGCATTATGTAGAGGTTTCTGCTTAATCTCCAAGTATTTGGGATTTTCCAGTTGTTTGTCACGGACTTCTCACTTGGATCCCATTATGACTGAGAGCTTATTTCCTGTGACTCCTGTTCTTCCTTAGGTGTTGATGTGTGCTTCACAGGCACGGAGGTGGTCAGCATGAACGTCTGTGTGGGCCTGAGAGAGTGTAGAGCCTGCTGCTGTGGGATGGAGCATCCTCTCCGTGCCCAGTAGATGCACAGGTGATTGATGGTGCGTTTTTATTCAACTGTATCCATACTGCTCTTGTGACTGCTGATCTGTTCATTTCATCATGTCTTTCATGCTTTGCTTCTTTTTAGCTTTATTTTATTTATTTGAAAGAGTTACAGAGAGAGAGGTCTTCCATCTGCTGGTTCACTCCCCAGATGGTCGCCACAGCCGGAGCTGCTCCAATCTGAAGCCAGGCACCAGGAGCTTATTCTGGGTCTCCCATGCTGGTGGCAGGGGCCCAAGGACTTGGGCCATCTTCTCCTCCTTTCCCAGGCCATAGCAGAGAGCTGGATGGGAAGAGGAACAGCTGGGACTAGAATGGGCACCCATATGGGATGCCAGCACTTCAGGCCAGGGCATTAACCCGCTGTGCCACAGCACCAGCCCCTCAAACTTAATTTCACTTCCTTTTTTATTTTGAAACTTAAATAACTTTAAAGACGCACCCAAGAATGATACATCTTTTGGAAGCACTTAGAAATAACTGGAGCTTATGTGATGTCAGAGTATCCTCCTACATATAGGGGATCCAGAACTCCAATCAGAGACTTGGAAGTCATAGAAGAGTTTGGTAAAGTGGCAGAATATAAAATCAACACACAAAAATCAATAGCCTTTGTATATACAAGCAATGCCACGGGTGAGAAAGAACTTCTAAGATAGGGGCCTGTGCCGTGGCTCACTTGGTTAATCCTCCACCTGCGGTGCTGGCATCTCATGTAGGTGCAGGGTTGTAGTCCCGGTTGCTCCTCTTCCAGTCCAGCTCTCTGCTGTGGCCCACAAGGGCAGTGGAGGATGGCCCAAGTGCTTGGGCCCCTGCACCTGCATGGTAGACCAGGAAGAGGCACCTGGCTCCTGGCTTCAGATCAGCACAGCGCCGGCCGTAGTGGCCATTTGGGGAGTGAACCAATGGAAGGAAGACCTTTCTCTCTGTCTCTCTCTCACTGTCTATAACTTAATTGTCAAATGAAAAAAAAAAGAACTTCTAAGATTGATCCCATCCATAACTTCAAAAGTCTTGGAATAGATCTAACCAAGGATGACAAGGATCTCCATGATGAGAATGTCTGTGCTTGTTTTTTTTTTTTTTTTAAGATTTATTTTATTTATTTGAAAGAGTTACAGAGAGAGGTAGAGATAGTGAGAGAGATCTTCCATCTACTGGTTCACTCCCCAAATGGCAACAATGGCCAGAGCTGAGCCTATCCAAATCCAGGTACCAGAAGCTACTTCCAGGTCTCCCACATGGGTGCAGGTGCCCAAGGACTTGCGCCAACTTTGCTGCTTTCCCAGGTGCGTTAACAGGGAGCAGGATTGAGAGTGGAGTAGTTGGGAGACCCGTATGGGATGCACTGTAGGCCTGGACTTGAACCCGCCGAGGCACTGTGCAGGCCCCGAGTCTTTCTGTTTTAATTGGCGTGCTCAGGCTATTGACATGCAGTGTAGTTATCGATGTATTTCCGTTTAACATGTTATTACCTGGTTTTCAGTAGAAGCCCATGATGTGAGTCTGCTCCCCCAACACACAGCAGGCCAGTCGTTGGCACTGGGGTGCTGGTGGGTGTGTGTTTGTAGTGCACAGAGTAAAAAGGCAGCTGTTGCCTGGTTATCAGACTCCCGTAGAGATTAAGGGTGGTGAGTCTTGTAGATGAAAGTTGAACAGTAAAGGACCAGCTCATGCAGGCCTCTCTGGCTTGTCTGCAGTGCTCGTGGCTTTTTGTCTGGGCAGCAATGAGATAGCCAGTGTGTTCTGAGGAGGCTGGGATGGCAAAGTGGGCTTCTGAGTGTCTGGGTCTGTGAGGGGGTGGCTGTTGCAAAGCTCACTCAGGACCTGGGCTTCCTGAGAAGCATCTCAGTGGGAGCCAGCAGGAAGATGTTAACCTAGAGAGTCTGGTTGAATTGGGGATTTTGTGATGTGGGCTCGTTGGGGCCAGTCTGGCCTGTGCTGCTCCCGGAATTTAATGAGGTCATGTTCACTAAGGAGTTGACTTCTGCATCAAGGTGAAGACAGAGAGTGCAAGCTAAGGGGAGAGACTGGGGCCTGCGTGAGTCTCTATCAGAGGCATTAGGACCAGGACTCAGATTCAGTGATCGTTGTTCTAGTTTTGTTCCCACATTCCTGCTGTCTGCGTTGTTTTGTGTCACTTGGGCATTTTTTAGTACCCCATTTTACATATCCCTGCTGAGTGTACCTTCTTCTTTCAAAAAGTTTTTTTGTTTCTTTTTTGCAAAAATTTCTTAGCTGTGTCACTGTCTAATTAGAATCATTGTTTCCGTCCATTTCACATGAACTATGGAACTCTTAGCACCATGTAAATCCCTTTGCTCTGCTCCTTGATGCTGTCATTGTCCTACTTTTCTGTGTTAGGCACGGGAACCCCAGAAGACAGTGTCATCTCTGCACTTCATCTTTCTGGAGACGTGGCTGTCAGGGACTTCTGTGACCTCCGTGTTCCAGGTCAGTGTCAATGTGGATGCCTAGAGGAAAACCGCATTGAGGACCAGAAGCCGATTCCCTGAGGGACCGGGTGGTCACCTGCCTGCCCCTCCTCCATTGGGCACCTCTGACAGCTTGGCTGCCAGAAGTGGTCGTGTGTGAGCTTCCGAGTCCTGCTTCCAGGGCGTGTCCCTCATGGGGTGGATTCCTCCCCAGGGAATGTGTGTGCAGCCTCTGTGTTTGAGGTGGATTTCACCAAGGCCTTTGCACCTAGCACCACGTGTGGTGGTTCTTCCAGCAGCCGGCTGCTTCCCATTGGTGCTCCATGGAAGCCACCGGGCCCAGCTGCTCTCAGGTCCATGGTCGGCTGCTACCTCTGCCTGAGCCTCGGGCTCTGGGCTGAAGCAGCGTGCGAAGTGGAAAATCGTGGACTTGTTTCTCTGATCCAGCATAGAGACCTTTTAAGGTGAGTGAGGAAGACTTCTAGTTTCCGTTTGTGATTCCTCCCTGTCAGCCTGTGCCATGCCATTCTTCTTTGCATATTGCTCTTTGATTCTGCTGCTGTGCTGGGCATGCTGGGAGTTCTACCACTGCTGTGGATTGCTTAGCACTTTTCTGAATGTGAGCTCACGCTAGGGGAGAACAGGGGTGATTCTGCCTCTCCCAGGATGGTTGCTTTTCACTTCCTTTTTTGCCTGCAGTGGCACTGCTGAAGACCATTTTTTTGTTTCTAATGTTTTTTAAAGATTGATTTATTTGTGTGGGGAGCAACCCGGACTAGACTAAGTTACTGGAATTAAGACTTATTCTATGCATCTGCTCTCCCACAATATGGCGCTGAGAAGGGAGAAACAGCTTCTACACAGCTGCCTCCAGTTCAACCAAAATACTGTAGGAACTGCTCCTGATTGGAGGAGAGCAGCGTACTCGGTGTGTGGGCAGCAGAGTTGGGATTGGTGGAAGAGGACTATAAAGGAGGAGAGAGACAACATGCACCAGGAACATCTATCTGAAGGAACACCTGTGCAGCCCCCGAGAGAGCCGGCCGGCGGTGTGCTGCTCCCCCGTGGAAGTGGGGAATGTGGCAGGGGGAACTGCCCTTCCACGGAGGTGGAAGGGACGGCAGCCAACCCGGGAAGAACCAGCAGCAAACCCGGGAAGGGCCGAGCAGAGAAAAGAACAACGCAGGGTCCTGTGTCATTCCTCCAGGAAGAGGGGGAGCGACAATTTGAAAGGCAGAGTTAAGACAGACAGAGTTCTTCTATCCACTGGTTCATTCCAAATGGCCACAGTGGCTACTGGGACGGTCAAAGCCAGGAGCTTCATGGAGGTCTCACACATAGGGCAGGGCCCTAAATACTTGGGCCATCCTCTGCTGTTTCCCAGGCACAGTAGCCGGGAGCCGCATCAGAAGTGGAGCACTTGGACTCAAACCCTTGCCCGCCTGGTATGCAGCCGCCGCAAGCAGCGGCTTTACCTCCTATGCCACACGCACAGGCCCTGGGACTAAGTTTTAATATTGGGAAATGTGATCTTCTAACAGTATCTTTTATTTTCAAAGCTGCTTTGCTCCTACTGGGTTCCTTACCTCTCTGTATGAATTTTGGCATCCGTACATCAAGTTTGAAGAAAGGGCACTAGAGCTTGGAAGGAATTGTGTGATTTGTGTAGGGAATTCGGGGAGTATTGTTATATTAACAGCACTACAGCATGTTGATCAGAAGTAACAAGAGCAAAACCGTTAGTCTTCTTCCTGATCTAGGAAGAGCGATTCCTGTTTTCTTTTTTAAATTTCTGCACCCCAGAGTCTTTTAGATTTTCATAGAAAATGTACTGAATATTTTGAATTCTTTGAATATCATTCACCTAGTAATGTTATTATCAATTTGCTTTTTTAAAATAGGTATTTATTTGAAAGAGAGAGGGAGTGAGGGAGGGAGAGAGACAGAGAGAGAGAGAGAGGGAGAGGTCCTCCATCTGCTGGTCCACTCCATAAGTAGCTGCAACAGTCAAAGCCAGACCAATCCGAAGTCAGGAGCCAGGAGCCTCCCCAGGTCCCCCACAGGAATACAAGGACCCAAGCACCCGAGACATCCTCCACTGCTCTCCAGGGCAAGGAGGGAGCTGGATTGGAAGCAGAATAGCCAAGACTGGAACCGGTGCCCACATGGGATGCTGGCACCACAGGCGGCAGCTTTACCCATCATGCCAGAATGCTGGCCCCTATTTGATTTTATGTTTTTAAGGTTATTTGTGTATTTGAATTCAGAGCTACAGATTGGATTGTGTGTGTGTGTGTGTTCGTGTGTGTGTGCGTGTGCGTGTGTGTGAGAGAGAGAGAAACTGTCTTCCTACATCCACTGGTATACTGGTTTCCTCCCCAAATAGTCACATGGCCAGGCCTGGGCCAAGCTGAAACCTGAGGTCTGGAACTCCATCTGGGCCCAGAGTCTTGGGCCATTTTCTCCTGCTTTTCAGACAGATTCCCAAGGAGCTGAATCAGAAGTTGAGCAGCCAAGTCTCATACCAGTGTCCGTAAGGGATGCCAGCATGGCAGACAGTGGCTTCACCTGCTGTGCCATGATCCCAGCCCCGAGACCAATGAATTTAAAAGAGAAGTTTAGGATGGGCCCTGGCACAGCAGTTACATCTTGGGAAGCCTGCATCCATGTCAGAGTGCCCAGGGTCAATTCCCAGTTCTCCTCCTCTTCCACCTCCTTGGGAGTTTATACCCTGGGGGGCAGCAGATGGCTGGCTCTAGTACTGGAGTCACTGCCACCAATCTGAGAGATCTAGATGGAGTTCCAGGTCCTGGCTTCGGCCTGACACAGCCCTGGTTATTGCAGACACTGGAGAGTGAAGTGGATGCAAGTCTGTGTGTGTGTGTGTGTGTGTGTGTGGTGAGCCTTTCAGATGAAAAGCAGTAATGAAATAGAGAGATAAGTTTATTTGGTATGAAAAATTTTGAATTCCATGCACAGGTGTTCATTTCTTTATTTTTTTTTAAGTTTCACTTAGTTATTTGGAAGGCAGAGTCTTTATCTGCTGGATCCCTCTCAAATGGCCGCACAAGTCTTCCAGGTCCCATGTGGGTGCAGGGGCCCAAGCCCTTGGGCCATCTCTCACTGCTTTCCCAGGCCATTAGCAGGGAGCTGGATCAGAAGTGGAGCCCTGGGACTCAAACTGGTGCCCATAGGGGATGTAGGCGCCCCAGGTGGAGCCTGAACCTACTACCCCCACGCCAGCCCCTGCAGTGCCACTGCCTCCTCCTCCCTCGTGGGCCCCACTGGCTTCCGGGAAGTGGCCCTGGGAACTTCCGGTTTCTCCCCTTTCAGGACAGGCTGCCCGGGTGGGTGGAGGCAGCCATTGTGTGTGCTGGGTCTCAGCGCAGGCCACAGCGCCCTCACCACACCGAGGCCACTGGCTTCCTGGGTGCTCCATGGGAACTGCAGGGGGCATCGTGGGTGGAGCAGGGCGCTGGGCGGCGGCTCCCACGGGTGAGCCTAGTGCTCTAGGCCCGAGGCGGCGTTGAAGCAAAGGCCTTCGCGGGCCTCTGTCCAGCAAGCACAACGGGGCTCCCTGTGGTGAGTGAGGGGGGCATCCCGGGTTCCTGCTGGGGGCTTCCCTGCTGGCTTGGGCCAGGCCTCTGCACCTTGCCTGTTGCTCTGGGGTCCTGCAGGGAGCAGGGCATGGGTGGAGTCGCGGTGGTGCTGTGCGGACCCTTGTACTTTGCCCAGTGTGCGAGCAGCTGTGGAGAGCAGAGGTGGCTCTGCCTGCTCCCAGAACGGCCCGTGTTCCCCTTTGTGTCCTTGTTGATGGCCCAGCCACCCTGCTCTAGACCTCTGAGCCCCCTGACCCAGGAGTAGGAGCGAACATGCTTGTCTGTTTCCTGGGCTCCGAGGACGGTTTCTGGTTACTGCATTCGGTGTGATGCTGTGCTGTGTGCGTTTTTCATGACAGACCATTGTCCGGCCAAGGTTGGCCTTCGTTCCTAATTAGATGATTTCTTTACTATCTCAAGGTAACTAAGTTTTGTGAAATAGGTTTTCTCTGTCTATAGGGGTGCTTTGTGGGCTTTTCCCATGTTGATTCTGTTCTATGATACATTGATTTTCATATGGAAGCCATCCTTGCATTCCTGGAGTAACTCCCAGTTGCACAGAGTATGCAAACCTTTTTTGTACTCCTGGATAGGGTTTGGTAATCTTTTGTTGAGGAATGGGATATATTCATAATGGATATTTGTGTGCCATTTTCTTTATGATCTGTTTGTGTTGGATTTTGGGCTAATGGTGGTCTGTTGGAATAAAATGGAATGTTTTTCCTCTTCATCTCTTTTTGGAAGGGTTTGCGAATCAAGGACTTTAATTATCCTTTAAATGGGAGTTTTCTCCTGTGGAACCATCTGGACCTGGACTTTTCTTCATGTTTTTTTTTTTAAATTTTTTTCCTGCTACAGCAATCTCTTTCCAAATTATAAGTATATTCAGACAAGCGAATGGAAGACCTCTCTCTGTCCCTACCTCTCTCTGTAACTCTGTTTTTAAAATAAATGAAAAAAAGAAAGAGTAAGTATATTCAGAGTTTCTAGTTTTACTGGAGTTTTTTAGCGGTTTGTTTCTTTCTGAGAATCAATCCATTGTATCTACGTTGAACCAATTTTTTTTGAAGATTTATTTGAAAGAGTTACAGAGAGAGGTCGAGACAGAGGTCTTCCAACCACTGGTTCTCTCTCCAGATGGCCCTAATGGCCGGAGCTGTTCCAGTCAAGATCCAGGAGTTTCTTCCGGGTCTCCCACATGGGTGCAGGGGCCCAAGGACCTGGGCCATCTTCTACTGATATCCCAGGCTATAGCGGAGAGCTGTAATGGAAGAGGAGCAGCTGGGACTAGCACCAGCACCCTCTAATTTTTTATTTCACCTTCATTCATGAATTAGAGCTTTGCAAGGTTTAGTATTCTGGGTTGACAACTTTTCTCTTATGGCTTGGAATAGATCTCACCACTTTCTCCTAGCCCATACTGGGTTTCTGATGAGAATTCAGATGTGATTATAATTGGAGATCCTCTTAATATAGTCTGATGTTTCTCTTGTGTACACTTTAGAATCTTTGCTTTATGTTTGACTGTGAAGAATTTGACTGAAGTGTTTCATGGTGAAGATCTTTTCTGGTCATGTTTATTAGGAGTTCTATGTGCTTGTGTTTGAGGGGAGAGACATATTCAGTTTTCTCAGATGCATTTGCTATGTCTCTAAAGGCTTATGTGTGTGTCCTTATTCTGTTTATTACATTGATTGCCCTGTCGTGTTTACCATCCTTGCATTCCTGGAATTATGCTCAGTTAATCAGAGTGTGTAAACCTTTTATTACGCTGGATTCCGTTTGCTGATAATTTTTGTATATTTGCAGGTGATGCTTGTTTGTAGTTTTCTGTATGATGTAGTCTTATTTTCACATCAGGCTCGTACTGGTGCCCTGACATCAGATGGCAGGTGCTTCTTCTTATCTACTTTTGGAAGGGTTTCTGAATTCTGGTTTTAATCATCCTTTACATCTGTTGGTGGGTGCTCACGGCTGCTGCTCTCCCAGCCCTGACTCAGCCCCCTGGAGGGCACAGGTGAATCTCAGGCATTAGCTTCAGGGTGCTGTGCAGATCTCTGCCTGGGGTGGGGGCTGTGGAGCCTCCAAAGCTCGTCAGAAACACAGAGAAGCCCTGCTGAAGCTGGGCTCTGGGGGTCACAAAACTGGAGCAGACATGTTCCAATCTAACACTTTAATACATAGGAACAATTGAATACACGTCAGCATCAAGAATAAAGGCCTAAAGGTTCTCCTTGAGGGTGGGGGTGGGAACAGTCCAGTAGCTATAGGCACTATGCTATCACCTTCCAGCGATGGAGGTGCCCACAGCAGTCCTGACACCCCTCTGTCCTGGCCCCAGGAAGAGGCGGGGGAGGGCCACTGGGTGGGTGGGGGCTCAATCCAGCGTAGAGGACTCTGTGTAAAGAACGGCAGGCTGCTGTCCAGCCTGGGCAGGACACATGGTGGGCATGGCCTCTCTTCCAGGAGGCACCCATCATCCAGGTGCCCCATGGAGTAGGAGGTAAGGAGGCCTCGGGCCAGGGAGGGCACCAGGCCTGGTCTCGCAGCACAGGGCTGGCTCTGGCCGGCTCCAGCCCGTGACTGTCCCCAGAGTGCGAGGGGCTGCCATGCAGGTAGGGAGTCTTCAGCTGTGGCCCCCAGGCTGGGACGGCCTGCATGGGCCCTGGTTCTGGGGGCTCCGAAGCCTGTGGAGGAGCCCACATCCACAGGCCCTCCCGGCTGCCAGCATCAGAAGAGTCGTCTTCCCTCTGTCCTGCCAGCTCAGGTTAGGGAAACTGGCACACTGGCACAGCCCTCCCCTCCCCCACAAGCTCTCTGGAGTCTCGGAAGGGTGGTAACACGTGGAGACTCTGCGCCCTCACAGCAGAACCTAAGGCCGAGGGGCTCTGGGCTGCCTTCTTCACAGTTCTCCTCCTCCTCCATGTCTTTCCTCAGAGCCATGTGGAGGCCAAACCTTGGTAGAGCCTGCTTCATCTCTGGGTAGGATACGAGACCCCTGGTCTGCTCCCAGTGCCTGCATGTCCTCAGTGCTGATCTTGGCCTTTGGAGCTGTGGGGGCAGGGATGTGCTACTGGGAGACGCTTTGCAGGATACGTCCTGCTTGGACCTGTCCCCTCGTTGCCTGCTTGGACCAGGCTCCTCAGAGCAGGGCCTGTCTTGTCTGCACAGCAGGGTCCCTCCTTTGTCTGCTGGGGCTGGGGGAGCTCAGCTCTGCTCAGGGCCACATGAAACTAGGACAGGAGAGCCAGACACTGGGACAGGAGCTTCTGTGGGCAGAGATCCCCAGGGGCTCTTACCCCTTCCAGAAAGCACTGAGTAAACCAGTGGGCCGTGAAGTCCCCGAGACACACATCCTCCTCCTAAGAAGAGGCAGGGGGAGGTCAGGGCCCACGGAGCAGGCCTGACTCCCTCTAGTCTGAGCCCCCGGGTGCAGAAGCCCAGCACCAGGTTCACCCCCTCCCCCACAGACATGCAGGTTCCTGAAGGGACACAGTTCCTATCTCCCACTCTTCCCTGGGGACAGCATCTCCCTTCAATCTACGCAAACTCTGGAAGACCAAGTGCTAGAAAACAAACCAACACCCAAACTGATGCAGACCCCAGTAACCAAGGAAGCCTTGGTGAGGACATGGCCTCCCCTGGCCCAGGAAGGAGACAGGACCCCTTTCTGTCCTCCCCTCCATGAGCACAGAGCGTCCGGGAGGAGACAAGATGTTTTACTTACCAGGTGTTTCTGCAGGGAGGGGAGTGGGCGATGCATGATATGTTCAAGATGTTGCTGCAGTCTTTCCAGTTTTGGGGAGTGCGGTTTGTAGAAACCTGAGGAGTATCAGCCATGCACCCCACACACAAACACACACACATAGGAAGCTGGAGAACCAAAGACTGGGGTGGGGTGTTTCTGAGCACTGAGGGTCAGGGGCTGCACTAACAGAAGCAGGTGGAAATGAACTTGGCCATGGCAGAGCACCTGCAGAGGGCGGTGGGTGCAGGTGGGTGACTGTGTGCAGCCCAAGCAGGCTTCCCCCTGGAGACTGCTGGGGTGAGTGTAGGCAGACTGGGTGCCTCCTGACCATTCAGACACAGAGCAAGGATGGATGACCCCACAGGGGATGCTGCCTTCTGCATGTTCCCTGGGTGTGGCTCTGTGCTTGAGAGGAAGCAAAGAGTTTGTGAGGCAGAAGGGACACTGGGGACCTGTGTCACGTGGGTTAGCACAGGACCCCTTGTTCTGAAGGTTCCAACACCCAGGATGGCCGTGGCTAGGCTCCAAGGCCTTTGGATGTTAGAGAAGTGGTCTGGTTCAGTCTAGGATTCCTCAGTCAGTCCTGGCTTCTAGGAAGCCCCCCCACAGGGACAGTGTCCTGCACACTCAGGAGCCAGTGAGGGCCGTGCATGGTCTTGCATGCACTGGGCCCCACACGCCACCCACCTACTGTGCATCCCGTGTTTGTGGTTCTCCATGAACTGGATCAGCACCTAGAAAAAATTCCTCACTCATCTATGTCAGCAAGAGCACCGCCACATGCCTCAGGTCCTGGCCGTAGCTCACCTCCTGCCAGATCCCAGAATGCCTCTAGCTGACCTCCCCTGGCAAAATGAACTCTCCTGGGATGGCCCACTTCTCAAGGAGATCAGGGTCGCCCACTGAAGGGCCCAGGAAGATTGAGGAAGCAGCCCCTCCGGCCTCCCCCTCAGCCTGAATCCTGCCACTTGGTGTCGGCATCCTAAGAATTGGAGCCCACGTCTCAGTGTTCCTGGAGAATCCTACAGGGCCTGAGCTCATGCAGCACAGGGGGGAGACCAGAAGCAAGGACACCTTGTACCCCCAAGATGTCAGGATGGGCCAGGCTGCTGTAAGAATCCAGGCTCCACACCCATGGTAGCTGCTGGATACGTGAGTGCCACAGGTGACCTGTTGGCCCTTTCTCACATGAGGGAGAAGTAAGCCAGGAAGTGCACCAGGCCAGGGCCGGAACAGGGAAGTGTGCCTCTGTCATGGGTGCAGGCTGGGCTTCCTGAGTGCCAGGCCCCAGGGCTCCAGGCAGAGTTGGTCAGTGGCAGGTCAGGGGGATGGGGATGCCCAGGCCTTGGAGGATCACCCATGGAGTCCTGCACCTGCTCCCCTCATTGGAAAGGTCTGAGTGGGTGGTTGTGGCAGTGGCACGGTGTGGAGTGGGATTCAGGCCCTTGGCACCTGCCGCATGTCTGACAGGTGCAAAGGCATCAGCGGGGCCCAGACTTGACTTTCATAACCACTGCAAAGTCACACAGCTCATGTCCACTCCCACCTGACTGGTGGGGCACTAGTCCTGGGAGGGGCATCCCACCCCTGCCAAGCTCCTAGGGTTGGGAGATCATCAGAAGGCTGCCCTTCTGTTCACCGAATTGAGTTCTATCGAAGAAGGGCGTAACCCTGGCCTCTGCCTCTCTGTCTCTGAGTTGTGGAATAGAGAGACTGCTCAGACCAGAAAGGGATCTCTGTGAGCAGGACACCCTGCAGGGACTGCCAGGATAGCACCTGTGATAAGATCCCAGAAGACTCAAGTGATTATGAACAGAATAGGCCATGAGCACTTGGAATAAGGCGCGTTGGCTGGAAGAGAGAGGACAGAGGCTGTGCGTCCTGTGCTGCCGAGGCTCAGTGTGGCTCTGCCTAACAGAGCCTCACAGCCACACACAGGGCCTGTGACACTCTGCTCATGAGCAGTGATGTCGTCAGGGCACCTGCGTGTGGTCCACCGTGTGGGTGAGCGCTGCCTGCAATGACATGCACACATCTCAGGGATGCAGTTGTGTGCAGTTTCACTTCCCGAGCTGTGTGTTCAGATTGCACAGGAGGGCGTCCACTGAGGCAGGTACCATCCCGTGGGTCTCACTCCATGGAGAGTCAGCCTCCCATGCACCACTGCAGCCTCGTAGGGAGCAATTCCGTCACCTATGAGCTGCCCACGGGCCCTCAGTGACAAAACTTCCCAAACTCCCCCTCCTTAGGCCAAACTGTCCTCTTCTCTGTCCCAGGGCACGGCCTCTTGCAGATGTCGTATGAGTGGATCACAGCACGTGTAGTCTTAGAGGGACGCTTCCTCTCAGCAGAATGCACCCGAGATGCATCCGGGTCAGCCCAGGCCCGAGCCTTGTCCTGCCTCTCGCTGAATCCCATTTTAGGATTCAGCAGTAACACAGGTAACACGCCTGCACCCAGCATCCTCCGTGATTTCAGATCCCCAGTTCTCACAGCTGTGCATGGTGCCCCACTGTGGTTCAGGTACTAAGCGTGTGTTCACGCGTTGAGGAGGTGAATTGTGTGTGCTTTCATGAAGGGGTCCTATGAGCCCGTGTCCCCGGGGCGCCGGGAGGCTGTGCACTGCTTCCTCGTTAGTGAGTTGAAGGGCTCTCTGAATGGTCTGGAAATAATACCTTCATTAGATAGATTGCTAATGCTGTCTCCTCTTGTGTGTGTTCATTTCATCCTCTCCCACAGTGTCTTTTGGAAAGTTTATATGATATAAAAAAGGCCCATGGCCCCATTTTTTTTTCCCAAAAGGGATTTTTGCTCTAGGTTTGTATGTGAGTCTCTCCTAGGAACCCCAGTTGTCCCAGGGACCCTTGCTCACCCCACCCCTGAGGCCCTGAGGCCCTGAGGCCCCGAGGCCTCACTTGATTCCATATCGTTCTCTGAGCATCAGGTGACTTCTTAAAGTCCCCGTAACAGTGGAGTGGATCTGCTGGAATTGGTTTGGGTACAGCCTGTCCTGTTCTTTCATCTCCTGCAGGGCGGGGGCAAGGGGGAGGGGCCTGCCTCAGGAGCAGCAAAGCCCCATTGCCACAAATTTCTCCAATCCACAGCAGCTCTTCTGGCTGACGTCCCCCCCAGTGCCCAGGATCCCTGCAGAAGGGGCCACTGAGACCCCGAATTGTCTGCATGAGACAGGGGCTCTGAAGGTCCCTGTGCACTCCCCCTGCCTGCCCCCAGCACTTCTCAGCAGAGAATCAGTCTGCACCCCAGCCAGGCTTCAGATCCTCCTCCCTGCATCTCAGGCCCTGCTACACCCAGACCAGTGGTGAATGCTGCCCCCTGCGGGAGGGGCCCATCAATAGCAAGACATTGGAAAGCGCCCTTGGGTTTGAGTTGCCCCTGGGCAATGACTGTCCTCAGGCCCAGCTCCCAGGGCCAGCCCCAATCTCAAGACTTCGGGGAGCACAGGGTTGGCCACACAGCTGGGCCCTGCTCCCTGATGGCAGCCGGCGTCATGAGAGCCATCTGCATTGCCAGAAGCAGCTGAGAGCTGAGTGTGACCGTTAGACAAGCCACTCCAGGCAAGGGCAAGGCCAGGGGGAGCAAGTCAGGTGAAAGCAGCGGCAGATGTGGGAGGGCCTGTGAGCACGGAGCCTGTAGAGAGTCACTTCAACACACCATTGTGATCTCAAATTGGGAGACGCCACCCATCAAGGACCAGCAATTCCTGTGTGCTGTTCTTGTGGCAAGCTGCCCAGCTGAGCTCAGCAGAGAGAAGGGCCAGTCCCCAGGCAGGGAGCCTAGATGGCCCAGCTGGGTCTGGGGAGACGTGGAGAAGGCCCTGAGGAGGACCCGGGGAGAGGAAGGCAGGATAGGGAGGAGGTTCCTGAGGGCCCAGTGACCAGACCACGGAGGCTCAGGCTCCTGACCAGGCCCGAGCAGGCCGGGCCCCCTTGGGCTGAGTGTAGAGCTGTACCTTTATTTGCCCGGATTCTCGGCCTTCTTGTTGTGGGTGACCAGCATCAGGGCCCACACCTTCCCACGCACCTGGGCAGGGATTCCTTTACAGCCTCTTCGATGAAACTGCAGGAAAGAGGAGCCTCCAGTGAGTGGTGCACGTGGCCACTCGGGGAGGGAGAAGCCAGGGGCTCCGTGTGTATTGGCAGAGGGAGGATCTGCCCAGATGGGGCCTTATGACCCACAGTGACTGGGGGCCAAGGGCTCAGGGGCACTGGCTCTGGCATGCACTGACTGCCCCCTACAGGGCTCCTGGAACCACACCTGCCCTGCATCCGGGATTGTCTTCAGCAGTGACTTCAGATTTTCTACCAGGACAGTGTCCTGCGTGTATGGGGAAGGGGTGCACATGACCTGTGTCCCTGGGGGCTGGACAGTTGCCCCTGGGCATCTGAGAGGCAGGCGGTGCCTGGCACGGGAATGGGCACTGCTCAAACCCCAACTCAGCTCTCAGTGTTCCCGAGGGGCCCTCAGCTCCACGGTACCTTCTTGCTGCCGCGGTATTTGCTATGATTCTTTATCATTTTCACCCACTTCTGGATCCTGTGCACCTGTTTGTGCTGGAAAACAAGACAGGATGGTGTGAGCCCAGCTTCAGGCTCTGAGAGTGGCCCTCAGATGGAGCTCCGGAGCTCTGTGTGCACTCAAAGGAAGGAACCAGAAAAGACACAGACCGTGAGCCCCAGGTCTTCTGTCTGGGGAGCGTCGGTGGCCTGGCCTCTGACCCAAGCTGCCCCTGCCTCAAGGCAGAGCCCCTGAGCTCCAGCCAGGTCACTCCCAACCATGCCAATGAGTCATGGCGGCCGACAGGCAGATGCCCCTGAGCTGTGGCTCAGTTCTGGGACAGGTGAGTGTGTTCAGGTGTCAGCAGGTGCCGTGTAAGTACTGCATCGCAGGACCTTATGGCGTTCCCAGTAACCACTGCTGAGCCCCACATGCCCCCTCCACCCAGCTCTGCTTCCCAGATGACTGGCCCATGGCCAAGGGCTTGTCTTTACCTTTGCCCCCGGGGTGCTGTCTTGGGGTATCTTCTGCTCACTGGAAAGCAAGGGAAGCGGAGAGGTGTGGACAGGTTCCTGATCAGACACTTCTGCCTCCCTAGTGGGCCAGGGAGGAACCAGTTTCATTATCTGTGGGTGATTGTATGCCTAGCTTTTGGATTGTCTGCCTAGCTTGTGCAGGAGGTTAGCCAGACTGCTGGCAGGTGGCAGGAGCCACAGGCACATTTCCCCGCCCCTGCTGCCTGGTATAGGGCCCTGTCATTGCCCATCAGGGAAACTGCTCCCGGGTGTGGCCCTGGCCCATGAAGAAGGCTCTAGCCTATGTGACCTTCACACTGATTGGAGGAGCCTAGCAGAGCCAACATCGGCTCTAGCCTATCAATTAGTGTTGCCCTGAACTAGCTATGCCCTTTCTGCTTGCACTTTAAGAGGTGTGCTTGATCATTAATAAAACGGGCATGGTCGCCAATCTTGTCTCTGGTGCTTGTGGAAGAACGCTGTTGCCCCACCATCCCACAGTGTGTGGCCTCACAGGACAAGCCCGCAGCTGGTGCCCAAACAGGGACCTCAACGTATACGGTGAGCGAGGGTGGGGCCCTCCCTGCTAGATGAGGAGGCATCGTCTGTGGTCAGGCCCCCAGTCCCTCTCTGCTAGTTGAAGAGGGTACACTCATCCCATTCTAGGGCCCCTCACCGTGTACCAGCCCCAGGCCCCCTCTGCTAGGAGAGAGGTAATACCGTCCCATTCTAGGGAGGTCTGCCCACATGTTCTAACGTTGCTTATCTGTCCATCTTTCACCCTGTCCATTATCTGTGCTCCATGCTGGGATCGTGACTGGGGGCGGGAGCTCTGATGGGGAAGTGCAGCTGCCCTGGGTGCCTGGTCCCAGCTGGGAGACACAGGGTGTGGGGCAAGGGGTGGAGAGCACGTGCTGCTACAGCACTGCGGGCTGGGCCTTCTGGCGCTCCAGGGAAGCCCAAGTTGGGCGCCCTGGCATATATGCACCGGGGGGAGTGGTGGAGAGTGAGGAAGCAGAGGTGGGATCCCAAACCCTGGACCCTCCTCTCCCCAGGTTCGACCCGCTCGGGTGCATGCAGCGACCAAGCAAGTCCCAGAACGCCTGTTAGAACTCATATGGTCTCCCCCCATCCAGGCGCATTTCCCGAGGGAGGAGGAAGCCCTGCCTGGGCAGTGACTAAGCCACAGGTACTCCATGGCTTGTAGAATTTGTATTCAAAACAGAAACAGGAGAACTCAGATGCTTACAAAGGTTCTGAGAATTTCAGCTCTGTTCCTGGGCTTTTGATTTTCAAATCGAGCTTGCTTTCAGTTATTCCAGGTTGGAGAACTGATTTGGTTGCCTGGAAACATGTTAGCATCAGGGACGCGGAGCATCAAAAATGGCAGATGCTCCACCCCAGCATGAAGAAGATGGGCAACAGACTCTGCCCCACGTTGGTGGCCCTCAGGGTCTGGCATATAATGAACACCTGATTGTTAGAGTGATCTATATAGAAATCCGTAGTATCTGTATTACAGAACAAACATCGCTTGGTCCAGTGTTAAAGGAATTCTAACTAATGCAATGCATCCAAGTCAAATGCTTAAGGATAATTAAGCTCGCAGAGAGCTGTGTCTGTTTATGTCTTCTCAGGTCCTACAAAGGAACTGTAAAGCTGTGGATTCCTGCGTGGATTCCTGCGGACCTCCTTCTAAGGGTACAGTTTTAAACCTAGCAGTGGGATCCCAAATCCCCTTGGGCTAGATGGCAAAAGTGACAAAGTGATCCTGTCAGTAGGATTAAGTATTTACTGCTATTAATGAATAGGATTAAAGAGGAGTAAATGCTCCAACGTGGGAAGGAGTCTGTCCCACAGACTCCTAGAGTGGCAGGTGCTGGAAGTAGCGCTCACTGACCCCCTAGTCAGCCCTCGAGGCATCCTGGTCTGGCTGAAAAGGCCAGGAGAGCAGTTCAGGCATGGAAACCCGGGACACTCGCGCAGAAAGCATTCCTACATGCGGGACCTCCCTGGGCGAGACCCCAGTGGAAAGAAGTGGTCATCAAAGAAGGCTGTACTTTTCTCTGAAGGGAGGAGAGAACTTCCACTCTGCTTGTGGCCTTGTCTGAATGTTGACAGAGTTTGAGGACTCAAAAGGCTTCCATAGCCTAGGAAGCTCATGTAGGAGCCTGGGTGCTCACTGATTCCTGCATTAGAGTGTTAATTGTTATATCAACAGCAGGGGTCACTGTGTGCTAACTTCCCCTGCAGGACCTCTGTCCTCAGAGAGCTACAGCATTAGCATTAATGGTAAAACTCGTTCCCAAAGATTTCCCTTGTGTAGTGTGTTACACTCTTAGGTGTCATGGGTTCTATTTATGTCTAAGTGCTAAATGCCATTGCCTGTATTCTTAGGCAATTCCTTAAAGTTTATTAAGTGTCTCCAATGTGAACTCTTCGACCCATGTCTCTCTCTCATAGTCCTGTCTTGTATGTATAACATAGGGTGGAATACAGAGTACTGAGTGGTTAAAGGCCTCAGGGATACGGAGAAGACGGCCGTTTCAATGCATCTTGCTGTGTTGCTAAACCTTTGCATATGGGACAGTTTCTTCTGTATCCCACTCAACTCAAAGTCTGGGCTAGTGAGGATCCAGAACTTCCCAAATCTCAGGGATCTAAACTGGAGGTAGATTCCCCAGCATGTGATCTGACTGCAAAAAGCTGTGCTCTCTCAGTCAAAGAGGGGAAGCTATGTTACATATGTTTGACCTTCGCAGACTCACAAAACAGCTGAGAATATTTCTGGGAATGGCAAGATTCTGTAGAGTACGGATCCCGTGATGTGGACTCCACGCTTCTGTAGATGGCTTTAAAAGGCCCTGAGGCAGACACACTGTGCTGGAGAAGGTAGCGACAAAAGTTCTAACCAAGAATTAAGGAGCTTCTTAGAAGCTAAAACCTTGGGAATTGCTGATGACAGGGTTCTATGGAATCCGGATTCCAGGATTTGGATTCTAAGACTCTGTATGTGCTTTAAAAGGCCCTGAGGCAGACACACTGTGCTGGACGGGGAGCTGCAAAAGGAGTTCCAAGGAACGAAGGCACTGCTAACAAAATTCCAACATCAGGAATTCTTGAGGAGGGCATTCCTGGAAAGATCTTCTTCAGGTCAGTTATAGCTTACATGGAAGGGACTTCACCAGGCGCTACTGAGCACGCCCACCCCAGTGAGGTTAGGATGAAACTTCTACCTCTTAAGTCTTCTCAGGAGAATTCCAAGACACAGCTGATTATTCCTGTAAGCCAAGTAGAGGCCTTCAGCAAAGAGAGTAAAGCTTTGACAGTCCTCACATCAAGAGTGCTGCTGTCCCTTCAGACACCTGTGCCTGCCTCTCTCAAGTCTCTCTGGGAGCTGCTACTGACATGCAAGTCCTCATGTGTTTTTCTATTGTAATCCTCTATGCTCAAGTGAAATGGGTTTATAATCTGTCACCACCCACTATGTGGGAGTCTGTATGGTACATTCTTTCCATCTTACGGGGCACTGGACTCGCAATTGGTCCTGTTCCACTTCTGTGATGCTACTTAACAAGCTTATCTGTTTCAGAACTTAACTTCTGGGAGTAGCTGACCATGCAGGGGACACAGACATTGGCAGGGACCGAGACCGCTCCAGCTCACAAAGCAAACTTGTTCGATGAGCTAGGCAGAGACTCCCAGCCCCAGCAAGGCAGGGCCTGCACTACGCCCCTCATAAGCAGGAAGCAGCTATAGAAGATGTGATGATTCTACAGCCTTCAGCATCCCTTAGGATTAAGGGACTGGAGTCTCTGAAGGGGCTGTGATGTAGGCGGGCATATAGGATTAGGTTTGTGAGCTGGAAGACCACGCCCTCATGCCCCTACCTGACCACATCTGTACGCCCACCTGCCAGTCAGACTAAGCTCTCCTCTTTGGGAATGGATTAAAGGCCTGGGGCCTGATGGGCCTGGCTGAGTGAAAGGCTACACTACTGGCAGAGATTTTGTCCCATACAGACAGGGTGATGTGGGTGATTCTGCCCCTAGCTGGGGGATTGCCTGCCCAGCCCATGCAGGAGATGAGCCTGACTGCTGGCAGGCAGCAGAAGCCACAGGCACATTTCCCCCACCCTGGCCCTGTAATTGCCTGTCAGGGAAATACTTCCGGGTGTGGCCCAGGCCCATCGGGAAGGCTCCAGTCTATGTGACCTTCAAGCTGATGGAGGAGCCTAGCAGGGCCAATATTGGCTCTATCCTATAGACTTAGTGTTGCCCTGAATTAGCTACGCCCCTTCTGTCTGCCCTTTAAGAGGTGTGCCTGATCATTAATAAAATGGGTATGTTCACTGAAACTTGTCTCCAGTGCTTCTTGTCAAAGAACGCTGTCGCCCCATAACCCACAAAGCCCAGGCCTCACAGGATGATCCCACAACCATCTCAGCCCAGGGCACTGAGATGGGAAGGGAAGGGCTGGTGTCCGTGAGAACAGGGAGCCCAGGCCAGGAAGGGGCCCTTGGTGCCAGTGGGGGCACTAGGCCTTCAGGGGTCCACCATCTGGGTGTGTGGCAGCACCCCTACATCGGTTGGGGGGTTGCTGTCCTGAGCAGGGCCAGGCTGCCCAGGGCTGAGGGAGCTGTGTCCCGACACCAGCTCTCCCCAAGAAGTCACCCTGGAACTGAACGAGTCCGGTGGCCTGCCTGAGAGATGCTCAGTGCTGAGTGCACCTGGGACCATCACAACCCCCACGTCCCCCTGCCTATCCTCTTCCCTGTGCACTGGCTGCCTTAGGTGCCACGAGGCCTCTCTCCCTGACATCTGTGGGTACAGCCTCCACGTGTGACTCCTGCCCATAGGCCCCACTCCTCCCAGCACAGACCCTGGAGCAGGGCCCTCAGCTGCATAACCCCCACCCCCCACACCAAAATGTTTTTAAAGACTGAGTTAAATTCTTTTTAAAAGTCTGTGTTAATAGTGTGTTATGTATATTATATATGTATATAGTATCCAATTTTAAATACACTCTGGTAGTTGGCCTTGATGAAGTGTTTTATTTATAGCTATGTCTTCCTTTTTTATTTTTCACTTTTATTAAAAAGGATTTAATTATTTATTTGAAATTCAGAGTTACACACAGGGAGGCAGAGAGAGAGAGAGAGAGAGAGAAGTCTTCCAACTGCTTGCCATTTGGGGAGTGAACCAGTAGATGGAAGACCTTCCCTCCCCCCACCTCTCATATAAAGTGCTTTGACCATTTGACCATTTCCTTAAAGTGAAACATCCCGTGAGCAGGCGACCCTGCAATTCCATCCCTATACATTTACTCAAGGGAAATGAAACCACAGTCACAGAAAAACTAGCAGTTACAATTCACAGTGCTTTACACGTGATCTTCAAAGCCAGGAAAGGCCCAGACAGCCTTCAACAGGGAGCAGTGAATACTGCCTGCTGGGAAGGGTAGGCGGGAGAGGGCGGGGAAGGCTGAGTGACACACACCAAAGTTACAATTTGACGCATTCCCAGCGTCCTAAAGCACAGGGAGCAATCACCACGCACAGAAACCCACCATGTTTCTGAGAAGACCTGGAAGACAGGAGCGCCGAGGCTCTGATATACAGAAATATAAGAGATGGACGTGTTCATTACCCTGATTGATCATGACAACTGTACACAACCACGGAATTATAATACCAAATCCCACAAAGACAAGTGTTACATCAATGAGTTCTTCAAAATTCTAAAAATTTGAAAAATGAGCAATGTCTTGGGCATTACATGATGGAGTGCTGTTGTGAACAGCCAAGCAGCACGAGAGAAAGTGCTCACCATGAAGAGTCGTAGGGAACACACAAATGAAGACCATGTGGGGTGCACCTACACCCTAAAATCCTTAATGTGAAGAAAGACTGACGGCAGTGAAAGTGGACAATGAGAAGGAGAAGCTGGAATTAGCAAGCAATGGCTGGACAGAGTGTAAAATGGTGCAAACATTGTAAAATCCTTTGGCAAGTTCTTCGCCAGGTAAGCATACACTCCCTTCAGAAGCCACTATTGCACAGCTAGGTATGCTTCCTCTAGAACAATGAAAATATGCGTGCACAGGCAGACTGGGACAAGAACACACTTCACAGCAGCTTTGCTTGTAACAGCCAAAAACTAGAAATGACGCGGAGGGCCAATAGAATACCCAAGAGGGGGTAACAGGGCCGACGCTGTGGCACAGGGTGCTAAGCCTCTGCCTGTGACACAGGCATCCCACACTGCTGGCCTCTTCCCATTCAGCACTCTGCTATGGCCTGGGAAAGAAACAGAAGATGGCCCAAGTCCTTGGGTCCCTGCACCCACATGGGAGACCAGGAAGAAGTTTTTGGCTCACGGCTTCAGATCAGCACAGTGCCAGGCATTGCAGCCATTTGGGGGAGTGAACCAGCAGATGGAAAATCTCTCTCCCTCCTCCCCCACTGCCTCTCTGTAACACTGCCTTTCTGATAAATAAAGCCTAAAAAAAAAAGAACAAGTGGTCACCAACAGGGTTCTACTCATGCGCTGTGGGTGTTCGGCTGTAAAGGGGAGTGCTCAGAGATCTGTGCGGCAGCGTGGATGCTGAGCCACAGGCTCTGGAAACAACATTCCATTTGGGGAAGCTTCAGAACAGCTAAACCCACTTCACAATGTGGAGAATGGGAAAAACCATGCGGAGAATGCGAAGTTGTTTCACATCCCTAATAAATTTAAATTTTAAGTAATGCTTCTAGAAAATTTTTGAAGCATCACAATGGACTGCAAATGGACAGAGGAGAAGTTCTGGGGCCATCAAAATTGTGAAACTTGGAGAAACATTGTGCTTAATGGTAGAACTTAGCACCATATAAGACCAGGGAGAGCAAGCATTCCAAGCAGCAAGGAAACATATATGACCCCCACAAAGACTCTAACGTTGAAGAGAATAGGTGGGTGACCCAAATAAGGGAGGTCCCTGGTCACACACAGGCCCATTTCTAGAATGGCACAAGAAAAGAGCTGCCACTTGACAGGCCCCAGGAATAGCTTGGATCCCAACAGGAGAGGGTTCTGTGGCTGCACGTATTGGTCAAACTCTTCAAACCGGACTTCAGATCTGTGCACGTCACTGCATCTAAATTACACCACAAGATTTTAAAGAATAAAGCATCCACTGACACAGTGGTTGTGTGACAACTACCAGTGGCTTCCATGACAACTCACTGGCAGGGCGGAAAGGCCATGGACAGCCAGGGCCAGCTCTTGTGGACAGGAAGCATCAGGACGCACACAGTACTGATGGGGAAACACAGCAGCACCCATGCCTGAGAAAGCAGCACCAGAGATGAACACGTGCAGCCGATGCCACAGCCCCTGCAGCTCCAGGTGCACTTCCAAGAGAAGAATGGGGGGGGGAGGGTCAGGTGCTGCGGTCAGCATTCCAGTGTACAGTCAGTCACAGAGAATCTGGACTTCAATGCACATGGCACAGCTACTCCAATGCATCAAGAATGCAGCCAGAGACTACCATGCACTGGCAATGAGCCCTCGACAAAGACCTGAAAGAACGTGGAGACTCACAACGATAATGCTGACCCACAAAACCAGACGCATGGATCCCGTTACCACGCCAGTGAAATGAAGCAGTGGGCAGAAAGGTATTTACTGGAACCTGGGCTGTGGCACAGCAGGCGACCCTGCTGCCTAGCACGCTGCCATCCCAGGCAGGTGCAGGCTGTATTCCAGGGTGCTCCGCTTCTGATCCAGCTCTCGGCTACTATGCCTAGGGAAGCACAGGAAGAAGGCCAAGTCCCCTGCAACCAGGCTGCAGCACTGGATGAATGCCTGGTTCTGCTTCCGCCTGGCCCAGCCCTGGCCATTGTAGCCATCAGGGAGTGAACCAGCAGATGGGAGACCGGCCCCACCCCCACCAGTAACTCTGCCTTTCACACAAAGCTCTAAATTAAAAACAAAACAAAACAAAACAAAAAAAACAAAAAAAACACAAAAAAAACCACTACTACTTCCTCTGAGGCGGCAGAGCCCGGGGCAGGATGGACCAGAGCAGAGGGGTTCCCGCCTTTCTCTGAGTGCGCGTCTCCCGGGTGCAGGCGGCGTAAACGCACCAGAGGCCCGTGCGCATTCACTCGGGCGCCGGGCCGTGTCCTGCACCCACGTCACACCTAGAGCAGCCGGCCCAGAGAGGCCGACCGGGCTCCTGCACGGACGCGGCCCAGGCTACTTCCGGCCGGGGACAGGAAACCCAAAACCGGAACCGGGCCGGGCAGGTTCTTGCTCTCCAACCGCCGCCCCGCCCCGTACCCGTCACTCTCCTCCTCCCTCTCCCACGCGCACGGCTCCCCCCTCCCTCCCCCACCTCCGCGCCCCCTTCTCATTCTGCCCCTCCCTTCCCCTCCTGTCCCGCCCCTCCCACGCACACCCCTGCCCGCTCTCTGCCCCCCCTCCTGTCCCCGCCCCCTCCCACGCACACCCCTGCCCGCTCTCTGCCCCCCACCCCCGGCCCGGCCTCCTCCCACGCACACCCCTGCCCACTCTCTGCCCCCACCCCCAGCCTGGCCTCCTCCAGCGCGAGCCCAGCGCCCCGGCCCCGCCTACCCGGTGACAGCAAGGCCTCCTCAGCTGACCACACCCCGCGCCCAGCTCCCCCAGAGAGGACCTCGCTGTTCCTCAGGGCAGGCATGGAGTCCTGAGGGTAACGGCCGCCTCAGCCGCAGCCTACCTGGCCCCGGCCTGACCCGGGGGCGCTGGGTCTCCCTCAGGCTCGGCCAGCAGCGTCCAGGACGGCTCCTCAGGGCCTGCGCTGGCTCTGGGCAGGAGCGGACAAGGCGCTCACTCCCACCTGAGCACCGCGGGGCAGAGCGGCCATGCGTGCAGATGCACTTCCGGGTCCAGCGCCTGGCGCAGGCGCACTGCACACGGGCGGCCCCCATGGGGTCACGTGACGCATCTGCACGCTGCCGCATCAGGCATCTGATGTCCAGGGCCGCGTCCAGTCCCGCTGCTCCAGGCTGTGACCCAGGGAGGAGCCGCTGAGGGCCCAGGTCCCTGGGACCCGGCCTCCCTCCCTCGTGAGAGTCCTGATGGAGCTCCTGCCGCCTGGCTTCTGCCTGGCCCAGCACTGGCTATGGCAGCCACGTGGCAGAGGAGCAGTGTGTGAGGGTCGCCAGCCTCTTTCTCTCTCTGAGAGGGCGTCCGTCTGGGTCCCCCCCCCCAGGGGGCTACAAAGGCCAGGGCTGGGCCAGGCTGAAGCAGAATCAGGGCTTTTACCCAGTACTCCAGGGTGGGGTCAGAGGCCTAAGTCCTGGGCCGTCTCCTCTGCTTTCCCAGGCGGGATCCCAAGGGGAATGGCTTCGGGGAGGGCCGGGCTGTGGGGTAGCGGGTAAAGCCCCCGCCTGCAGGGCCGGCCTCCCATATGGGCGCCTGTGTGAGTCCCGGCTGCTCCACCTCCGATGCCGCGCTCTGCTATGGCCTGGAAAAGCAGCACAAGATGGCCCTAGTCCTTGGGCCCTGCACCCACTCAGGAGGCCCCGGGAGGCTCCTGGCTTCGGATCTGCTCACCTCCGGCTGCTGCGGCCTATTGGGGAGTGGGCCAGCAGATGGAAGACCTCTCCCTCTCTCTGCTTCTCCGCCTCTCTGTGTGTAACTCTGAATGTCAAATACATAATTAAATCCTTTTTAATAAAAGTAAAAAGGAAGACATAGCTAAATTAAATACTACATCAAGGCCAACTACTACAGTGTATTTAAAATTGGATACTATATACATATATAGTATACATAACACACTATTAACACAGACTTTTAAAAAGAATTTAACTCAGTCTTTAAAAACATTTTGGAGGCCGGCACCGTGGCTCAACAGGCTAATCCTCCGCCTTGTGGTGCCGGCACACCAGGTTCTAGTCCCGGTCAGGGCGCCAGATTCTGTCCCGGTTGCCCCTCTTCCAGGCCAGCTCTCTGCTGTGGCCAGGGAGTGCAGTGGAGGATGGCCCCAGTGCTTGTGCCCTGCACCCCATGGGAGACCAGGATAAGTACCTGGCTCCTGCCATCAGATCAGTGCGGTGCACCAGCAGCAGCGCGCCGGCCACGCCGGCCATTGGAGGGTGAACCAACGGCAAAAGGAAGACCTTTCTCTGTCTCTCTCTCTCACTGTCCACTCTGCCTGTCAAAAGAAAAAAAAAAGAAAAAAAAACATTTTGGTACCTGTACATTCTCTTCTTCCTTACAAACGTGCTGTGTGGGATTATTTCTGACTTACACATGAAGTAATCTTTGTCATCTACTTATTCAGACACTTATGTACCCACTTACACAAGGACTAGACATACCCGTGAACACAGGTCTGCCCTCCATAGCCTAGCCCTGCATTTAACATAGGGTTCATGTTTTAAAAAGGACAAATCCTGTGTCCCACAAACAAGACAAAATACATAAAGGTAGCAATTGGGGTTCACTGTTGACATTTTCTATGTGGACGTTATATTGTTGGTATTTTTATGTCATTTCTCAATGTCAGAATACGGGTTAATTTTAATTTTGCTGATTTAACTGATTCATGGTTATACCGGAAGGTGGGATTCTTTGGATATTTAGACAGTTGGAAATTTCTAAAATTAAGGATTTTTTAATGTATATTAAAAAGTTACATATTGTATTTTTAAAAATGTACTCCAGGAAAGTTGGTATAGAAACTTTTTTGCTAGGAATAATAAATAAATAGGTATATATATTCACACATATGTAGAGGTATATACATGAATATACACATGTATTCACACGTGAGTACAGAAATGTGCACATACAGACATAGGATTCCCCTCCCCAAACACCAGACTCCAGAGCTTGCTGGTCACCATCACTTGACCAGAAGGCTCAGGGAAGACCTGATGGAGGAGGAGGTCTTGGTCCCAAAGCAGGAGGTGAAACTGGAGCCCCACAGATGGTTCGGCCTCAGCAGCTGGTCCTGGGCACGGGCAGCTAAATGGTGGCCCCAGGTACAGAATGTTCCAGCAGCTGAGACTGTGGCACTACCAGAGCAGACCACTGCGCAGAATGGCCAGGTCATGATGAGGACCCCTGGACATTTCTGTGCCAGCAGAGACCTCAGGAGAGGGTCCCAGATGTCCTGGCCCAGGGCCAGCAGCATGGGCACCAGGGGGGACAGAGTCCCCAGGCCCTGGCATGAGGCTGTGATGGCCCTGTGCATCCCAGGGCCTCCAGGACACCTCTAGCAGATAGGAAGGGCTGTCAATATGAGGAGCAGGTGTCCAAGGAGGGAAAGGTAGATAGGGACAGAGGAGCCCAGCTCTGACTGGATGCCACTGTCCCAAGTCCCTCAGTGGTTGGCCAGGCTCAGGGCATCCATGTGGTATCCAGGTGGCCATGTCTTCTGATAGAACATAGGGGCCCCTGCTCTCCAAAATGGGTGAGCAGTGCACACCCACTGTCCTGACACCCAGTCAGGAGGCCTGGGTGTCGGAGGTCCTTGCTGAGAGCCCAGCCACCCTTCTGACCCTGCTATCTCATCCCATGCCCTTGATACCTGTGGAGCTCATGGTGTGGGGACGCCTGTGTGTTGACCTCAGTGTCCCCAGCCTGTTGGGAGTGGCAGAGTTCCCGGCTGCTTATTGATTCCAACCTTACCATGTGCCGGCTCTGCCCAGTGTGCAGAGACTTCAGGCCGCACCCCTGCCCTGGAACTGAGGCCATCCTGGGCATCAGCACATGAAGTGAGAGCTGTCTATGGGGAGCCCCAGAATTGTGGAGGGGGAAGTAGTACATGGAGAGTCCTTGGCTTGGGCTGTGGTGCTCCTTGGACACATGAATGCCAGGCTCAGGGAGGAGCTTCCTTGCCGAGGGCAGGGGAGGCAGCCAGGGGCTATCCCTGCCCAACTGTCCCTAGTCCCTGTGTTCTCGAGTCAACTCCTGGGACCCGGCCACCAGGTGCCCACACGCCTGGATGTGGGGCTGTCCCTGTTCTGATCGGGGGACAGACCTCTGGGCAGCAGTTCCTGAGGGCTCCACTGTGCGGGTTCACGTTTGCATGAACAGCACTTGAGCTGTGTCCATAGGATCTAGGCACCAGCCGAGCAGGGGAGCAGTTTCCAGCAGGTGCCTGGGTCTCTGGGGCCAGGCCTGACGCTTACTAAGACCTAGCCTGAGGGAAGGCCAGGGGTGTGGCATCTAGGGCTCTGGACCTGCCTGCGGGCATGCAAAGTACTGACCCCGGTGGGGGGGGGGTTATGCAGCTGAGGGCCCTGCTCCAGGGTCTGTGCTGGGAGGAGTGGGGCCTATGGGCAGGAGTCACACGTGGAGGCTGTACCCACAGATGTCAGGGAGAGAGGCCTCGTGGCACCTAAGGCAGCCAGTGCACAGGGAAGAGGGTAGGCAGGGGGACGTGGGGGTTGTGATGGTCCCAGGTGCCTCAGCCCCAGGTGCACTCAGCACTGAGCATCTCTCAGGCAGGCCACCGGACTCGTTCAGTTCCAGGGTGACTTCTTGGGGAGAGCTGGTGTCGGGACACAGCTCCCTCAGCCCTGGGCAGCCTGGCCCTACTCAAGACAGCAACCCCCAACCGATGTGGGGGTGCTGCCACACACCCAGATGGTGGACCCCTGAAGGCCTAGTGCCCCCACTGGCACCAAGGGCCCCTTCCTGGCCCTGGGCTCCCTGTTCTCACGGACACCAGCCCTTCCCTTCCCATCTCAGTGCCCTGGGCTGAGATGGTTGTGGGATCATCCTGTGAGGCCTGGGCTTTGTGGGTTATGGGGCGACAGCGTTCTTTGACAAGAAGCACTGGAGACAAGTTTCAGTGAACATACCCATTTTATTAATGATCAGGCACACCTCTTAAAGGGCAGACAGAAGGGGCGTAGCTAATTCAGGGCAACACTAAGTCTATAGGATAGAGCCAATATTGGCCCTGCTAGGCTCCTCCATCAGCTTGAAGGTCACATAGACTGGAGCCTTCCCGATGGGCCTGGGCCACACCCGGAAGTATTTCCCTGATAGGCAATTACAGGGCCCTCTAACAGGCAGCAGGGTGGGGGAAATGTGCCTGTGGCTTCTGCTGCCTGCCAGCAGTCAGGCTCATCTCCTGCATGGGCTGGGCAGGCAATCCCCCAGCTAGGGGCAGAATCACCCACATCACCCTGTCTGTATGGACAAAATCTCTGCCAGTAGTGTAGCCTTTCACTCGGCCAGGCCATCAGACCCCAGGCCTTTAATCCACTTCCAAAGAGGAGAGCTTAGTCTGACTGGCAGGTGGGCGTACAGATGTGGTCAGGTAGGGGCATGAGGGCGTGGTCTTCCAGCTCACAAACCTAATCCTATATGCCCGCCTACATCACAGCCCCTTCAGAGACTCCAGTCCCTTAATCCTAAGGGATGCTGAAGGCTGTAGAATCATCACATCTTCTATAGCTGCTTCCTGCTTATGAGGGGCGTAGTGCAGGCCCTGCCTTGCTGGGGCTGGGAGTCTCTGCCTAGCTCATCGAACAAGTTTGCTTTGTGAGCTGGAGCGGTCTCGGTCCCTGCCAATGTCTGTGTCCCCTGCATGGTCAGCTACTCCCAGAAGTTAAGTTCTGAAACAGATAAGCTTGTTAAGTAGCATCACAGAAGTGGAACAGGACCAAGAAGTGAACAAAAGTCCAGTGCCCCATAAGGTGGAAAGAATGTACCGCACAGACTCCCACATAGTGGGTGGTGACAGATTATAAACCCATTTCACTTGAGCGTAGAGGATTACAATAGAAAAACACATGAGGACTTGCATGTCAGTAGCAGCTCCCAGAGAGACTTGAGAGAGGCAGGCACAGGTGTCTGAAGGGACAGCAGCACTCTTGATGTGAGGACTGTCAAAGCTTTACTCTCTTTGCTGAAGGCCTCTACTTGGCTTACAGGAATAATCAGCTGTGTCTTGGAATTCTCCTGAGAAGACTTAAGAGGTAGAAGTTTCATCCTAACCTCACTGGGGTGGGCGTGCTCAGTAGCGCCTGGTGAAGTCCCTTCCATGTAAGCTATAACTGACCTGAAGAGGATCTTTCCAGGAATGCCCTCCTCAAGAATTCCTGATGTTGGAATTTTGTTAGCAGTGCCTTCGTTCCTTGGAACTCCTTTTGCAGCTCCCCGTCGAGCACAGTGTGTCTGCCTCAGGGCCTTTAGGGCCTTTTAAAGCCATCTACAGAAGCGTGGAGTCCACATCACGGGATCCGTACTCTACAGAATCTTGCCATTCCCAGAAATATTCTCAGCTGTTTTGTGAGTCTGCGAAGGTCAAACATATGTAACATAGCTTCCCCTCTTTGACTGAGAGAGCACAGCTTTGTGCAGTTAGAACACATGCTGGGGAATCTACCTCCAGTTTAGATCCCTGAGCTTTGTTTGAAGTTCTGGATCCTCACTAGCCCAGATTTTGAGTTGAGTGGGATACAGAAGAAACTGTCCCATATGCAAAGGTTTAGCAACACAGCAAGATGCATTGAAACGGCCGTCTTCTCCGTATCCCTGAGGCCTTTAACCACTCAGTACTCTGTATTCCACCCTATGTTATACATACAAGACAGGACTATGAGAGAGAGACATGGGTCTAAGAGTTCACATTGGAGACACTTAATAAACTTTAAGGAATGCCTAAGAATACAGGCAATGGCATTTAGCACTTAGACATAAATAGAACCCATGACACCTAAGAGTGTAACACACTACACAAGGGAAATCTTTGGGAACGAGTTTTACCATTAATGCTAATGCTGTAGCTCTCTGAAGACAGAGGTCCTGCAGGGGAAGTTAGCACACAGTGACCCCTGCTGTTGATATAACAATTAACACTCTAATGCAGGAATCAGCAAGCACCCAGGCTCCTACATGAGCTTCCTAGGCTATGGAAGCCTTTTGAGTCCTCAAACTCTGTCAACATTCAGACAAGGCCACAAGCAGAGTGGAACTTCTCTCCTCCCTTCAGAGAAAAGTACAGCCTTCTTTGATGACCACTTCTTTCCACTGGGGTCTCGCCCAGGGAGGTCCCGCATGTAGGAATGCTTTCTGCGCGAGTGTCCCGGGTTTCCATGCCTGAACTGCTCTCCTGGCCTTTTCAGCCAGACCAGGATGCCTCGAGGGCTGACTAGGGGGTCACTGAGCGCTACTTCCAGCACCTGCCACTCTAGGAGTCTGTGGGACAGACTCCTTCCCACGTTGGAGCATTTACTCCTCTTTAATCCTATTCATTAATAGCAGTAAATACTTAATCCTACTGACAGGATCACTTTGTCACTTTTGCCATCTAGCCCAAGGGGATTTGGGACCCCACTGCTAGGTTTAAAACTGTACCCTTAGAAGGAGGTCCGCAGGAATCCACGCAGGAATACACAGCTTTACAGTTCCTTTGTAGGACCTGAGAAGACATAAACAGACACAGCTCTCTGCGAGCTTAATTATCCTTAAGCATTTGACTTGGATGCATTGCATTAGTTAGAATTCCTTTAACACTGGACCAAGCGATGTTTGTTCTGTAATACAGATACTACGGATTTCTATATAGATCACTCTAACAATCAGGTGTTCATTATATGCCAGACCCTGAGGGCCACCAACGTGGGGCAGAGTCTGTTGCCCATCTTCTTCATGCTGGGGTGGAGCATCTGCCATGTTTGATGCTCCGCCTCCCTGATGCTAACATGTTTCCAGGCAACCAAATCAGTTCTCCAACCTGGAATAACTGAAAGCAAGCTCGATTTGAAAATCAAAAGCCCAGGAACAGAGCTGAAATTCTCAGAACCTTTGTAAGCATCTGAGTTCTCCTGTTTCTGTTTTGAATACAAATTCTACAAGCCATGGAGTACCTGTGGCTTAGTCACTGCCCAGGCAGGGCTTCCTCCTCCCTCGGGAAATGCGCCTGGATGGGGGGAGACCCTATGAGTTCTAACAGGCGTTCTGGGACTTGCTTGGTCGCTGCATGCACCCGAGCGGGTCGAACCTGGGGAGAGGAGGGTCCAGGGTTTGGGATCCCACCTCTGCTTCCTCACTCTCCACCACTCCCCCCGGTGCATATATGCCAGGGCGCCCAACTTGGGCTTCCCTGGAGCGCCAGAAGGCCCAGCCTGCAGTGCTGTAGCAGCACGTGCTCTCCACCCCTGGCCCCACACCCTGTGTCTCCCAGCTAGGACCAGGCACCCAGGGCAGCCGCACTTCCCCATCAGAGCTCCCGCCCCCAGTCACGATCCCAGCATGGAGCGCAGATAAGGGACAGGGTGAAAGATGGACAGATAAGCAACGTTAGAACATGTGGGCAGACCTCCCTAGAATGGGACGGTATTTCCTCTCTCCTAGCAGAGGGGGCCTGGGGCTGGTACACGGTGAGGGGCCCTAGAATGGGACGAGTGTACCCTCTTCAACTAGCAGAGAGGGACTGGGGGCCTGACCACAGACGATGCCTCCTCATCTAGCAGGGAGGGCCCCACCCTCGCTCACCGTATACGTTGAGGTCCCTGTTTGGGCACCAGCTGCGGGCTCGTCCTGTGAGGCCACACACTGTGGGATGGTGGGGCAACAGCGTTCTTCCAGAGGCACCAGAGACAAGATTGGCGATCGTGCCCGTTTTATTAATGATCAAGCACACCTCTTAAAGTGCAAGCAGAAAGGGCATAGCTAGTTCAGGGCAACACTAATTGATAGGCTAGAGCCGATGTTGGCTCTGCTAGGCTCCTCCAATCAGTGTGAAGGTCACATAGGCTAGAGCCTTCTTCATGGGCCAGGGCCACACCCGGGAGCAGTTTCCCTGATGGGCAATGACAGGGCCCTATACCAGGCAGCAGGGGCGGGGAAATGTGCCTGTGGCTCCTGCCACCTGCCAGCAGTCTGGCTAACCTCCTGCACAAGCTAGGCAGACAATCCAAAGCTAGGCATACAATCACCCACAGATAATGAAACTGGTTCCTCCCTGACCCACTAGGGAGGCAGAAGTGTCTGATCAGGGACCTGTCCACACCTCTCCGCTTCCCTTGCTTTCCAGTGAGCAGAAGATACCCCAAGACAGCACCCCGGGGGCAAAGGTAAAGACAAGCCCTTGGCCATGGACCAGTCATCTGGGAAGCAGAGCTGGGTGGAGGGGGCATGTGGGGCTCAGCAGTGGTTACTGGAACCCCATAAGGTCCTGCGATGCGGTACTTACACGGCACCTGCTGACACCTGAACACACTCACCTGTCCCAGAACTGAGCTGCAGCTCAGGGGCATCTGCCTGTCGGCCGCCATGACTCATTGGCATGGTTGGGAGTGACCTGGCTGGAGCTCAGGGGCTCTGCCTTGAGGACGGGGCAGCTTGGGTCAGAGGCCAGGCCACCGACGCTCCCCAGACAGAAGACCTGGGGCTCGCAGTCTGTGTCTTTTCTGGTTCCTTCCTTTGAGTGCACACAGAGCTCCGGAGCTCCATCTGAGGGCCACTCTCAGAGCCTGAAGCTGGGCTCACACCATCCTGTCTTGTTTTCCAGCATAAACAGGTGCACAGGATCCAGAAATGGGTGAAAATGATAAAGAATCATAGCAAATACCGCGGCAGCGAGAAGGTACCGTGGAGCTGAGAGCCCCTCGGGAACACTGAGAGCTGAGTTGGGGTTTGAGCAGTGCCCATTCCTGTGCCAGGCACCGCCTGCCTCTCAGATGCCCAGGGGCAACTGTCCAGCCCCCAGGGACACAGGTCATGTGCACCCCTTCCCCATACACGCAGGACACTGTCCTGGTAGAAAATCTGAAGTCACTGCTGAAGACAATCCCGGATGCAGGGCAGGCGTGGTCCCAGGAGCCCTGTAGGGGGCAGTCAGTGCAGGGTAGAGCCAGTGCCCCTGAGCCCTTGGCCCCCAGTCACTGTAGGTCATAAGGCCCCCATCTGGGCAGATCCTCCCTCTGCCAATACACACGGAGCCCCTGGCTTCTCCCTCCCCGAGTGGCCACGTGCACCGCTCACTGGAGGCTCCTCTTTCCTGCAGTTTCATCGAAGAGGCTATAAAGGAATCCCTGCCCAGGTGCGTGGGAAGGTGTGGGCCCTGATGCTGGTCACCCACAACAAGCAGGCCGAGAATCCGGGCAAATAAACGTACAGCTCTACACTCAGCCCAAGGGGGCCCGGCCTGCTCAGGCCTGGTCAGGAGCCTGAGCCTCCGTGGTCTGGTCACTGGGCCCTCAGGAACCTCCTCCCTATCCTGCCTTCCTCTCCCCGGGTCCTCCTCAGGGCCTTCTCCACGTCTCCCCAGACCCAGCTGGGCCATCTAGGCTCCCTGCCTGGGGACTGGCCCTTCCTTCTCTCTGCTGAGCTCAGCTGGGCAGCTTGCCACAAGAACAGCACACAGGAATTGCTGGTCCATGATGGGTGGCGTCTCCCAATTTGAGATCACAATGCTGTGTTGAAGTGACTCTCTACAGGCTCCGTGCTCACAGGCCCTCCCACATCTGCCGCTGCTTTCACCTGACTTGCTCCCCCTGGCCTTGCCCTTGCCTGGAGTGGCTTGTCTAACGGTCACACTCAGCTCTCAGCTGCTTCTGGCAATGCAGATGGCTCTCATGACGCCGGCTGCCATCAGGGAGCAGGGCCCAGCTGTGTGGCCAACCCTGTGCTCCCCGAAGTCTTGAGATTGGGGCTGGCCCTGGGAGCTGGGCCTGAGGACAGTCATTGCCCAGGGGCAACTCAAAGCCAAGGGCGGTTTCCAATGTCTTGCTATTGATGGGCCCCTCCAGCAGGGGGCAGCATTCACCACTGGTCTGGGTGCAGCAGGGCCTGAGATGCAGGGAGGATCTGAAGCCTGGCTGGGGTGCAGACTGATTCTCTGCTGAGAAGTGCTGGGGGCAGGCAGGGGGAGTGCACAGGGACCTTCAGAGCCCCTGTCTCATGCAGACAATTCGGGGTCTCAGTGGCCCCTTCTGCAGGGATCCTGGGCACTGGGGGGGACGTCAGCCAGAAGAGCTGCTGTGGATTGGAGAAATCTGTGGCAATGGGGCTTTGCTGCTCCTGAGGCAGGCCCCTCCCCCTTGCCCCGCCCTGCAGGAGATGAAAGAACAGGACAGGCTGTACCCAAACCAATTCCAGCAGATCCACTCCACTGTTACGGGGACTTCAAGAAGTCACCTGATGCTCAGAGAACGATATGGAATCAAGTGAGGCTTCGGGGCCTCAGGGCCTCGGGGGTGGGGTGAGCAAGGGTCCCTGGGACAACTGGGGTTCCTAGGAGAGACTCACATACAAACCTAGAGCAAAAATCCCTTTTGGAAAAAAAAATGGGGCCATGGGCCTTTTTTATATCATATAAACTTTCCAAAAGACACTGTGGGAGAGGATGAAATGAACACACACAAGAGGAGACAGCATTAGCAATCTATCTAATAAAGGTATTATTTCCAGACCATTCAGAGAGCCCTTCAACTCACTAACGAGGAAGCAGTGCACAGCCTCCCGGCGCCCCGGGGACACGGGCTCATAGGACCCCTTCATGAAAGCACACACAATTCACCTCCTCAACGCATGAACACACGCTTAGTACCTGAACCACAGTGGGGCACCATGCACAGCTGTGAGAACTGGGGATCTGAAATCACGGAGGATGCCGGGTGCAGGCCTGTTACCTGCGTTACTGCTGAATCCTAAAATGGGGTTCAGTGAGAGGCAGGACAAGGCTCGGGCCTGGGCTGACCCGGATGCATCTCGGGTGCATTCTGCTAAGAGAGGAAGCGTCCCTCTAAGACTACACGTGCTGTGATCCACTCATACGACATCTGCAAGAGGCCGTGCCCTGGGACAGAGAAGAGGACAGTTTGGCCTAAGGCGGGGGAGTTTGGGAAGTTTTGTCACTGAGGGCCCGTGGGCAGCTCATAGGTGACGGGAGTGCTCTCTACGAGGCTGCAGTGGTGCATGGGAGGCTGACTCTCCATGGAGTGAGACCCACGGGATGGTACCTCCCTCAGTGGACGCTCTCCTGTGCAATCTGAACACACAGCTCGGGAAGTGAAACTGCACACAACTGCATCCCTGAGATGTGTGCATGTCATTGCAGGCAGCGCTCACCCACACGGTGGACCACACGCAGGTGCCCTGACGACATCACTGCTCATGAGCAGAGTGTCACAGGCCCTGTGTGGCTGTGAGGCTCTGTTAGGCAGAGCCACACTGAGAGCCTCGGTAGCACAGGACGCACAGCCTCTGTCCTCTCTCTTCCAGCCAACGCGCCTTATTCCAAGTGCTCATGGCCTATTCGGTTTATAATCACTTGAGTCTTCTGGGATCATATCGCAGGTGCTATCCTGGCAGTCCCTGCAGGGTGCCCCTGCTCACAGATCCCTTTCTGGTCTGAGCAGTCTCTCTACTCCACAACTCAGAGACAGAGAGGCCAAGGCCAGGGTCACGGCCTTC